ACCGGGACAGCGCCCCGGACTACAGGTGCTGCTGACGACAAACTGGCAACCTCCGCTCATCCTCCCGCACACAGTCCCACCCCCCTGATACACACCCACTGCTACACCACTAGCTCTACTCCCACGCACCCCCCTAAAACCCTAAACCCCCAGTCTCCCACACAACCACCCCCCTCAGCGACAGCTGCAGCAGTGGGAGACAAAGGAGGAGGAGGAGAAAGGGAGGAAGGCACACCGGCCACCCCCATACCCGCCACCCCACAGCTCGCCCCTCCCGTCGTCCGTCGTGGCGACCTGAGGGGGCCGCTTGCGGCCCCCGAAGGAGCCGCGACGGGCGACGGGAAATGGGGGAAGGGGAGAAAGGGGGGGGGGGCCACCACGGACCTGAGGGGAGGGCGGGGCCGCGACAAGGGGCGGGGCCGCGACGAGCGGGGCGGGGCCGCGACGGTCGGGGTGGGACCGCGACGTAGGGTGGGGCCGCGACAGGTCGGGGCCGCGAAGGTAGGGCGGGGCCGCATAGGGTCCGGGGCGGGGCCGCGACGTAGGGCGGGGCCGCTTCGAGGGGCGGGGCCGCGACGCAGGGGCGGGGCCGCGACGAGGGGCGGGGCCGCGACGGTCGGGGCGGGGCCGCGACGGAGGGGCGGGACCGCGACACGTAGGGCGGGGCCAAGCCGGGCAGGCGCACGGGCGGCGACGGGCCGGGGCGGGGCCGCGACGAAGGGCGGGGCCGAGCCGGGCAGGCGCACGGGCGGCGACGGGCCGGGGCGGGGCCGCGACGTAGAGGAGAAGCCCGCCGCGCGCCCCGGGGCGCACAGCGGGCAATGAACCGCCGCGCGCCTCGGGGCGCACGGCGGGCAGAAAACCGCCGCGCGCCTCGGGGCGCACGGCGGGATGAAAAAGTAGCAGCGGAAGCAAGGTGGGGACACACCCACAGGATCGATCCAAGGGGATCGACCTGCTCTGCTCTGCTCCAAGTTTAGAAGAAGAAAGAGGATTGAACTAGCAAGAATGAGGATACAAATAGCAAACCCTAGAAGGGTTGTACTCGCTATAGAGCACCCCACTACAGGCTAGAACAATAAGATAATATTCTGACTTTTAGGTAATAGTCTCCTTTCTGCGTCGTAGCCTGCTGATGATTTCCCGTTGTAAAGAATGGGTCTGTCGTGTAGCCGTGGGTAAATAGTCCGGTAAGTAACGGGTTCGAGTGGGTGATGAGTACTGCAGCGGATTGTACTGTCGGTCGGGTCAGGGCGTCCGCGATGTTATTAGCCCCTTTTTTGTACGTGATGCGGTAGGTGAAATGGCTCTCCATGTAGTCGAGCCACCGAATCTGTCGTGGGTTGAGGTTGGGTTGGGCTCGCAGGTATTGTAGGGACTTGTGGTCCGTGCGAACAGTGACGTCGGCACCCACCAGGTAGCATCGCCATAATTTAAACGCGTATATGATGGCGAGCATCTCCTTGTCGTGGATCGGGTAGTTGCATTCGGCTGCCTGCAGCTTGCGTGATTCGTAGGCTATCGGCTGCAACCCGTTCCCAAAGTCTTGGAGAAGCACAACTCCGATGGCGAAATCTGAGGCGTCGGTTACAATTTCGAACGGCTTCGATGGATCGGCGATGCGCAGCACAGGAGGGGAAACGAGGAAATTCTTGAGTTCCTGGAAAGCCACTTCTGCCTCCTCCCCCCACACAAAATTCTTGTCCTTGTGCAGCAGGTCGGTCAGCGAGACGGTTATCCCCGCCATATTCGGGATAAACCGCCTGACGTAATTCACGAATCAGAGGAAAATCTGGAGCTCCGTGACGTTCGTCGGGGACTTCCACTCCTGTATGGTCTTGATTTTCGCCGGGTCGATTTTAATGCCGTCGCGTGAGATGACGTGCCCCAAAAACTCCAACTCCTGCTTAAAAAACTCGCACATAGAGCCCTTGGTGATGAGTCAGTTCCCCTGCAGCCGCTCAAACACTGCATCCAGGTCACGGAGGTGCTGCTCCCGTGTCTTGCTAAAAATGAGGATATCGTCCAAGTAGACGATGACACACCGGTCTAGAAGATCCCGAAAAACCCTGTTCATGGTCAGTTGGAAAGTTGAGGGCGCGTTCGTGAGGCCGAAAGGCATCACTTTAAATTCGTAACTCCCGTAGCGTGTGCAAAACGCAGTCTTGTGACAATCGTTGGCGAAGACTCGAATTTGGTGGTAGCCGCCACGTAAGTCAATCTTTGAGAAATATCGAGCGCCGCGAAGTTGGTCGAGGAGGTCGTCGGTGCGTGGGATTGGGTAGCGAGACTTGATGGTGACTCTGTTCAGCGCGCGATAGTCGATACACATGCGAAGCCCGCCGTCTTTCTTCGGAGTGAACAGAATCGGTGCTGCGAAAGGAGATGTGCTGGCCCGAATGAACCCTTTCTCCAACAGTGCGTCAATTTGTCGTCGCAGCTCCTCGAGTTCCGGCTGGGTCAACCGCCACTGTGTCCGAACGGTTGGCTGCGCTCCAGGTTCCAGCTGGATTTTGTGGTTCTCAGGTCTCTCCGGTGGCAGTCCAGGTGGCAGATCGTCGGGGAAGATGTCCAGGTACCTCCGAATCAGCTCCGCTAAATCCGGTGGTACAGCTGCACACAGCTTCTCAATGTCCTTTCCTTCGGTGTCGACCGCCAACTCGCGTAAGCAAACAGCGAACAGTTGCGCGCCTCTGTTGAAGTGGCGAGCTATAGTGATAGCTTTGACGCACGGGGCTTGGATGTAGTCAGGCGTCCATGCAGGGAGTTTAATTAGCCCCTCGTGCTTGTTGATGCTGCACGATCCCGTTGTCCAGCCGATGACGGGGTTGTCCCGTCGCAGCCAATCACGTCCCAGCATCACGTCGCAGCCGTCCAATGTTGTTGCGAGAAAATTCATGCTGAAGCCGAAATCGTCGCCACATTCGATCCTGACCGTCCGTGTTTCTTCCGTTATCGCCAGAGGCGTCCCATCCACAAGGCGGGCGTCAATTTCGGGCAGACACCTGTCAAGTTGCAGCTTGCATTTTTTTGCGCTTGCCAAGTTGAAGAGGCTATGACTGGCCCCTCCATCGACGAACATTTTTAAGTTATTTTTTAACACCTTGCCAGCGACCAGCACAGGGTGATCCACATGTGTATCCCCGTTATTCGGCCGAGTGCGATCGATTGCATGAATCGGAACCACGACTCGGTGGGGATGGTGGGGTTCGGGCGACGGAGCACAGTCAGTAAAGGGCCCGCTAATTACTGACTCTTCCCATTTCCCTGCTCCTTCCTGTCGTTCCCCGTCAGCGGCGTTTTCTCGTGGTAGTCTCTCATGTAGTGACCCGTCTTCCCACACCGATAGCACGGTCCCTTAGGAGGGCGGTCGGGTGTATGGACGGCGTTGATCGTGGCGCGATGGGTCTGGCCACGAAAGCGGTTTCCCTCACGGGAAGCTGCTCTCGCGTACTGCATCAGCGCATCTGTGGACTCCGCCAACTGTACTGCTGCAAGGAATGACGTCGGACGGCCCCTGCGAACCGCGTACTGTATCTCATATTTGAGGCCGCTGATATATTTATCCAACCGTTCAGCTTCCGACATGTCATCCACTTGGTCGGCGAGGCTCATAAATGACGCTGTGTAGTCTTGGACAGAAGCCATCTGCGACCATGCACGCAGCTTCATGCGAGCTTGCTCCGAGGCGAATACGTGCTCGAAGCGATCTCGTAAGGCTGCGCCCCACTCCTTCCACGTGCGTATCGTGGTCACTCCGAAGATCGATTGTGCCACTTGATTAGTCACTGTTGAGGTCCCGTCTGCCGCATGTGTCACACCTGTCGGCGTCCTTGTTTCCAAGGTTCGGCGCCACCACTCGAGCGCTGCACCTGGAAGAAGCGAAACTGCGTAATTAATACGCGTGGCGTCGTCATTAACTCCGGCTGCAGTAAAAAAGACCTCGACCCCGAACAGCCACCCTTTTACCGTAACCGTCTTGTCCGTAGGATTAAACGGGGGCGGGTTAACGGGCTTGATCTTGATCGTTGTTACTGCAACTGGCGCTGCTGCCGCTCGCTGCCTGTCCTCCTCTTCGAAGTCACGTGTGAGCGCATCCAGTGGATTGCTCATCGCCTGACTGTTGCCCTCGCCTTCGTTCACAGGCGACTCCTGACGCGCTTCACCTCGCGTCTGGCGTAGCTCGGCATTTGCCTCTCGCAGCACTTCCGCCATTAATGTCTTCATGCTGTCCTGCATTTCTGCCACTTGCGCCATCATCCTATTGACCGCCTCCTGATCCATGTGCCTAGCGCTACGTCTGGTGGGCAATCGGGTCTCCGTGGCCTTCAGGCAAGTGAAAACACGAACTATCGGAGTCGGGCAGGATTGAATTAACAATCCCTGCGGCCAACCGTCGTGTAGTCACTAAACCAGCCACACCCTATGCCACCAAACTACCCTCGGAAAAGCGGGGTGAACTAGGAAAGTAGCTCTGATACCAGGTGTTATGAGTTGTAAAAGAGAGTGCGCAGGTAAACGAATAACGAGGCTCTGACTGAATCAACTGCGAATACAATGAATGCACAGACTAATGCATGACTAGTCTAGCTAGGAGGAAACCTCGGACGAGCGAGGTTGGGTGCAGGTTTGGCGATGGGAATGCCGAAGGCGACGCGAGGAGCCTCGGCAGCATTGAAATCGGCCGAACGTGCGAACTCCGAAAATCGGGTTGTACGCGAAGCAGTCAACCCCGATAAGGAATTCGGGAAAATTCCTTTCACACCTGAAGTAAATATAAAAATAATTATAGTTATCACAGTTTTCTAACAAGTATCATTATGGAAGGATCCTCCGAGTAAACATCTTCTTTGTTACGCCCATCTCAAAGTTTTATACTTTTAAACGTCACGCCTCACATTTACCCTTGGCTATTTTCACCTTGCTTGGAATGCACACTTTGGTACCCTTGATCAGTTTGTCTATGCAGTCGTAACCATTTATGTGCCTGTAGCAACCTTTCACGCCTCGAAAATACTTGACTTGGATTGCTGTGCATCGATCACCGGTACCAATTGTGATTGCAGTGGCACGTGGACATGTCCCTTGGAGAAGACTGTCTGTGCTCCCAACACACACCTGCAAATGACAGGTAGCGCACTGAGTGAACAACGAGCCACGTACCGAATCAACTCGAGAATCATCTGGGGTCAGAAATCACCCCAAACTCACCTCAAAGCGAGTGAAGCGTAAACCATGAGGTGATCACCAAGATGACTCAAAAGCCACGCGTGCTCAGATATCACCCCAGGCTCACCTCGAAGCCGGTGAAGGTGCCAACGTCAATCTTGGGCACAAGCCGGCTGCATTTTATGCCGGGGTTGAGGCGGTAGAAGTCGACGCGGGAGAGAGGCAGGTCAGGCACGTTGCGGATGGACTCGCACGTCTCGGCGCTCTCCACGAAGTAATACTGCGAGCACAGCGCCACCACCCCCGCCATCTCCGCCTGCCGCTCCACACACACCGCCTGGCTCGCCAGCAGCTGCCCGCTGTTGGCGCTGCAGTCCACCCCCGGGTTGAGCGCCTGCAAGGCTGCCGTGCACTCGGGGGACGGGCAGGTGCTGGCCAGAGCGAAGTAGGTCGCCAGGGCCTCACAGGTGTCTCCCTGGGACAAGAGGCAGGAGGGTAGGGGGCAGGGAGTGGGCAGGGAGGGAGCAGGGGGGGAGGGGAGGGAGGGGACAGGGAGGGGACAGGAAGGGGCGGGCAGGGGGCAGGTGGGGGCCAGCCAGGGGGCAGGGGGTGGGCAGGGGGAGAGTGACGCACAAAGAGCAGATCAGACTCTGCTGACCTGCTCGGTGCGTCGACTAGATGGAGCAGGGGGGGATGGCGGAGGGTGTAGAGACAACTTGCACTGGACTCAGTAGTTGCACCAGACTCTTAGGCAGCTTCGGGTTTGCCCTTTTTGTAAGATGCATGAAGTACCATTCACCACCCACCTACCACCTAGAACCTCCCACAGGCCACCTTTTACCCACTGCCTACCCCGTACCACCCATTTACTAACTACACGCCACCTGCCACGTACCGGTTCAGTGGTGTAGTAGACAGAGCAGGGGGTAATGGTGGTGGGTGGGGCGACTTGGAGCACCGAGTTGATTGGTAGAGCAGAGTCACATGAGATGGCCTGGTGGCAGGGCGGCACGCATTTACCGCGATGGAGGGGTGGGAGTGAGGTGATGGGGTGAGAGTGGGGCGATTGGAGGAAACAAGATGAGAGGGAGGAAACAGGGTGCGGAACGAAAGAAGCAGCAGCCCGGCACGCCTGAAGCCTGGCGCACAGGAGAAGGTGCCATCGACGGTGGTGCCCTGCCTGAAGCCTGGTGGACACACACACGAGTACGACCCCGCCCCGTCATTCACACACGTGCCCACCGCACACGGGTTGCGGATGTGCGCTGCACAGGCATTTACTGGAGGAGGGGAGGGAGAGCAAGGACAGGAAGTGAGAGCGTGCAGGAGGGATGAATTGTGAAAGGGGAGAAGGGAGAGACGCGGAGGTTAGGGTGTGCTGTTTGTGTGCAAGAAGCATGAATCCATTGGCAAAGAGTGAGAGTGGACCGTTTTGCAACAATGTGGACAAACGTGTGGGAGCAGGAATGTGCAGCAAACACAGAAGAAAATGGTGAGTACCAATCCTCATGGTGAGTACCATATCCGCAGGTGTGGAGAAAGAGGCATGCATACCATAGACACAGGTGCAGAGCAGAGCAGGAGGCATGCATACCGTAGGCACAGGTGCGGGAGCCATCAGTGTTGGTGGCCTCAATGAAGCGACCGTCAGATGCGGTGTTGCAGTCACAGCGGTTGGACCTGCCTTCAGCTGTGACCGTGCACGTGAAGTTGCCACACGGGTTCAACACCGCACCGATTGGATCCCGGTGTGCCCCGCTGTTGCACGGAGCCTGCTTGTCTGTTAGGGTGGAGCGGTGTGGAGCAGGGATAGGTGGGACGGGGTGGAAATGGAAGGGATAAGGAAGGGTGGGGAGAGATTGGGTGGAACTGCCATCGTTCTGTCAGCAAGTCCTGAGACGAAATAGTAAAGCAATTACAAGCCATTATGGCGGTGGCGGCGGCGGCGGCGGCAGCAGCAGCAGTAGCAACAGCAGCAGCAGCAGCACCAACATACCAATAATGATAGGGTAAACGCCCGGCAGAGTGTTGATGCCGCACACGCCATCCCCCCCCTGGATGTCCATGCGCATATGGCCCCCATCGCCCCAGTCAGGCCCCCATGAGTTGCGGATGATCCAGAAGGGCGGCGCCATGTGGGGGAAGGCTTCATCTGCCCCCACCAGGCGGTACCCCACCAGCAGCACCACGTGGTTCAGGTTGTACGTGAAGCACGCTGGGTCCTGGTACTTGTGCAGCTGCACAGAGGAGTAGGGATGCATGTTGTGAGGGTGGTATGGAGAAGTGCGTGCGCATGTCTCACAGAGCCGCAGCACAGAAATGCCTGCGCAATCACTGCAGGCATGTGTGGGCGGGCAAGGTGGCCACTCACTCACGTGATCAAGCAGACATGTGAAGCGGTGTATATGTATGGTGGAGGAAGAAGACATGCGATTGACAGCAGCACCAGAGGACGCATTAACGCACAACCTCCACACAATTGATGGAAGGATGGTGAGACAGAGCGACTCACCCCATCGTAGTTGAGGAAGGAGTCAGCAGACGCCTCTATGTGCACCACCACGGGCTGCCGCTGCACCGCCAGCACCAGGCCGAACCAGCTGTAGAAGGCCGCCCGCTCAAAGCCCGTTATGCTGTAGCCCGGGCGCACCTGCAGCATGCATCATGCCAGCCGGGATTTGATGCAGCATGGGAAAGGAGAAGAATGAGTGCCTGAGCTGAAAGTGATGCCCGTGTCATCAGCATTCGAATGAGGAGGTGATGGACGCGAACAATGGGTACAATGAGGACAACGAGGAGTGCAATGAGTCGTACGGCAATTGCACTGACTACAGACTTCACACAGTTTGAGAGGAGGGTTGGCATTCGGGTGAACGGCTAACTCAGCCTTCTTCTATCGTCTGCTTCAGTCCCCAAAGGGAAGGAGGGACCACATAACGAAGCTTGACCAATTTCCCTCACCGTCACACTTCACCACTGCTCACAATAATCCCAGCCCCGGCTTTCTCCTACATTGTGCACTTCACTTCACTCCCAAAGTCTACCTCTGAGGAGACTCAAGTCGAAACACTCCACTCCACTCCACTCCACTCACCGTGCCAGCCTCGGCTTTCTCCTTGGCTGTGCACTTCACTCCCAGAAGAGCCGCTATCGGCTTCAGCAGCGGCGAGCACAGCGGACTCTGACTCTGACCTGCTGCTGCCCCCGCCGGTGACCCCTGTTTCCCCTGCCTCCCCACCGCACTGCTTCTCTCTGCCACAGCCACACCCATCGCACCCGTCCCTCCAGACCTCGCCACAACCCCCCCTGCTCGCACCCGTTCCGCCTGCAGCCCCCCGCCGCGCTTGGCAACAGCAAGCAGGTACTGGAAGGCCTTGGAGGGTGATCCTCCGGAGCAGTCAGCCTTCATGTCGGCAACGAGAGAGGCGACAGAGAAGACAGGCAGTGAGCCGTTGGCTGCGAGGATGGCGTAGGCGGCTTCTATGCTGGCCACCACAGCTTGCGCCCAGCAGTCCCCACACCCCGCCTGGTTGCGCACTGGCCAGCTCGGCAGCAGGTCTGGGCGAACCCATGTCATGTTGGTCGCCACTATCCACTGCTGCTCCTCGTCCGCACCTGCCCCTGCTGGTGCTGTTGGTGGGGTTGGTAACCGCGCGCCGGCACTGGAGTAGCGGAAGTAGCAGTTGACTCCCGTGGTGGTGAACGAGGCCTCTGCTAGCGTGAAGCCCAGCGGGTGGGCTGTGGTGGGGGAGGCAGGCAGGGCAGAGGGAATGTGATCAAGGGAGTGGCAGAGATGGGAGAGGGATGGAAGAGGCGGAGAAACAAGTGCGGCAGTGGGCAGGAGACGAGAGCAATAGAGAGGTGAAGTGAAGTGGGGAAGGTGATGGGGTGTTGGAGTGGATTGGAGGCAGCCAGTCATAACAGCACCAGCAGCAACAGTCTCATGGTGGTTGAAGTGACATGACGCAGCACACATATATGGCAGGTAGGTGCTCGCACCATGCGCTGCGCATACTTCCAAGCTGCAACATACCGTGCCCTACCATACCTGCTGAAACGCCCTGGGTTGGAAAATCTGCAAGAGAAAGCGAACGGGGAGAGAGGGAAAAGCCAAAACTGACTGAGATCAAGCGGCACCGAGAAAGAAAAAGTGTGCGCAGTATTTCCAACTGGGGAGGAGGAGAGCCGCAATGCAGGAGCACAGATGTGGCAACAAGAAAAACAGTTGCCTGTTGGGCAGCAAAGCCAGCGCATGCTCCTGGCAGGCATAACATTAACCCAGAGCCTACCAACCAAGTATGCAATGCAAGTACCTGTATCCAGCGACCACTGCAGCACTGTGTGCTGCTGGGGGGGGTCAGACGAGGCGGCAGTGAAGCCAACCACAAACGTGGCCTCCTCAAACGTGGGCTTCAGCACTCCACACAACGACACGCTGCGCTTGAGAACCGGCTTGGCTGGGCGAGTGGCAGCACTGCCCACATACACCGACAGCAGCCCATTTTTCCCTGGGGAGTAGTCGATCCACGCGTACTTGGTGCTCCCTGTGTTGAGCCCTGGCACGGCAGCGGTGGTAACAGATATCACAGAACCTCCCACGTTGATGCCCACGTGGCTGCTGTCCGGGTCGCTGCTGCTCGCATCTTTGAACGTGTCAAACTCCACTGCCACACTGCGCTCGTTCATGCCGGCGTAGCCCAAAGTGCTGCCGTCCCCACCGGGGACTTCGTTCCTCGCTGCAATCACAAATGAAAAGCCGCCCTTCCCGACGCCGTTGCTGCCGGTGGCCGGGGCGATGGAGAAGGAGAAGGAGAGCTTGAGGGCGACCTCACGGCCGCACGAGTGGTTCTTGACGGCGTAGGAGAAGAGGCGCACACGCGACACCAGGAACGCCGCTCCCCACGCCGCCTGCTCGTTGCTCGTCAGCACCACGCTGTTATCCGGCTGCACCGCTGGTGCTCCCTTCACCGCCATCGCTGCACCGCCACCATCGTTGCAAGAAACACTTATCGAGGTCAGCAAGGAGAAGTCCGCTGGAGCCCCACCACCAGCAGCAGGAACGGCCACACACGTCCCTGGGAGCTCCCCGTTTGCATACCCGGCATCGCAGGCACATGTGGGGATCCTGCTGGGGCCAGAATAGAAGCAGGTGCCGTGCCCGGCACAGGCAGGCGAGGTGGGTGAGAGGCCGCAGAAGGATGCACAGACCTCCTTCACGCGCTGGGGATCCATGGGGCAGGGCGGCACGTCGGTGGCGCCCAGGCAGTTGGCTTGCACGGCTATGAAGGTCTGGGTGCAGTCGGGCTGAGTGGAGAAGCCGCAGGAGAAGAAGTTGCTGTCTAGCTGGTACTGCTTGATGGATGGTGGGATGGGCTGCAGCAGACAGCCGCTCAGCTGGTTTTTGCGCAGGCTCCTGCTTCGGTAGGGTGGAAGAGAGGGGGGTGAGTAGAGGAAGGGACGAGGGAGGGCAAAAATAAAAGGAAGAGATTATCAGGACAGGAAACGGCAAGGGAGAAGTTGATGAATGGCCAAAGACCGAGTAAAACTGTGCTCTCATCTCTTTGGGAGTTGTGAACATCTACAGTCTTCCACAGAGTGTCAGTATTGTAAGGGTACAATTGGGTGCCTCAAGATTCAAGGTGGTGAAGTGGAAAGAGCGAACCGTTTTCCCTCGCCGTACTGCGATGCACAAACTGTATGGTGAGGGTAGTACACTCCATTTACGGCCTTAGATGATCTAAATTAGATATAACAATGCAGCAACACTTGTCTAGCTTTGGAAGGCGGCAAGCAACCATATTAACATCTACATACTGGTTGTCAGGTTCTTGGTGCATGACATGCCATCTTTATGATTGCATAAGTCTACTTGTTCTGGTGTTGGTATCTCCTGATCGAATCAAAAGTGGTCACCTGTTGGTACCAGCTCGGAACACTCACGTACATGTGCACTGCTGGTGGTAGGTGTTGTTGACACTCACAGGAATGGGAATGCTAGTGTCTGGGAACACAAAGCGCATTGGCACTCACAGGAATGGGAATACTAGTGTCTTGATACAGACAGTGCATTGGCACTCACAGGAATGGGAATACTAGTGTCTTGATACAGACAGTGCATTGGCACTCACAGGAATGGGAATACTAGTGTCTTGATACAGACAGTGCATTGGCACTCACAGGAATGGGAATACTAGTGTCTTGATACAGACAGTGCATTGGCACTCACAGGAATGGGAATACTAGTGTCTTGATACAGACAGTGCATTGGCACTCACAGGAATGGGAATACTAGTGTCTTGATACAGACAGTGCATTGGCACTCACAGGAATGGGAATACTAGTGTCTTGATACAGACAGTGCATTGGCACTCACAGGAATGGGAATACTAGTGTCTTGATACAGACAGTGCATTGGCACTCACAGGAATGGGAATACTAGTGTCTTGATACAGACAGTGCATTGGCACTCACAGGAATGGGAATACTAGTGTCTTGATACAGACAGTGCATTGGCACTCACAGGAATGGGAATACTAGTGTCTTGATACAGACAGTGCATTGGCACTCACAGGAATGGGAATACTAGTGTCTTGATACAGACAGTGCATTGGCACTCACAGGAATGGGAATACTAGTGTCTTGATACAGACAGTGCATTGGCACTCACAGGAATGGGAATACTAGTGTCTTGATACAGACAGTGCATTGGCACTCACAGGAATGGGAATACTAGTGTCTTGATACAGACAGTGCATTGGCACTCACAGGAATGGGAATACTAGTGTCTTGATACAGACAGTGCATTGGCACTCACAGGAATGGGAATACTAGTGTCTTGATACAGACAGTGCATTGGCACTCACAGGAATGGGAATACTAGTGTCTTGATACAGACAGTGCATTGGCACTCACAGGAATGGGAATACTAGTGTCTTGATACAGACAGTGCATTGGCACTCACAGGAATGGGAATACTAGTGTCTTGATACAGACAGTGCATTGGCACTCACAGGAATGGGAATACTAGTGTCTTGATACAGACAGTGCATTGGCACTCACAGGAATGGGAATACTAGTGTCTTGATACAGACAGTGCATTGGCACTCACAGGAATGGGAATACTAGTGTCTTGATACAGACAGTGCATTGGCACTCACAGGAATGGGAATACTAGTGTCTTGATACAGACAGTGCATTGGCACTCACAGGAATGGGAATACTAGTGTCTTGATACAGACAGTGCATTGGCACTCACAGGACTGTGAGTTGAGTGAGGCCGGTCAAGGCCTGTTGCACACTCCCGCTCAGGCGATTGTTGCTCATGTCACTGCCATGGGCGCACAGGGGGTAAGAAACAGAAGCACATGGAGAAAGAAGGCATAGAACGGCATTCGACTTGGACAGTGGATACAATATTTGTAGAGAGGGTGAAGATTCGTAGGATGAGGAAGAGGAGTGAAGAGGAAGGAGAGACGGTGAATGTGCAACAAGCGTTGGTGGGTCCCGTGCTGACATACAAGACGGCACAAGGAAAGTGAGGTGACTTTTGAGTCGACTCAAAAGTCACCTCATATAAGACTGCAGAAGGAAAGTGAGAAGAGAACGCACAGAGCCGTACCGTTGTGTGGAGGGGAGAGGAGAAGCACACAGTGCTTGTTGTGAGGAGAACACGAACACCGCTGCTGTTTTGAGACGTCTCAAAGCTTGCTCTGAGGAGAATACAAACACCGCTGCTTACAGCACACTGAGTTTCGTGAGCTTGGATATCTCGTGGGGGATTGTTTCCTCAAGCGAATTCGAGCTGAGGTCACTGGCGCGGGGAGAACATATAACTGCATCTTTCATTCACGGCAGCAACGTAACGCGAGCAGCTGGTGCATGCATAGGGGGAAGCCATGCATGCATAAGGGGACGCCATGCATGCATAGGGGGAAGCCATGCATGCATAGGGGGAAACCATGCATGCATGCATGCATGCGAATTGGTGAAAGAAGTAGATGGTGTTCACAAGCCGAGAGATAAGCTCACTATTTCTAGCAGAAGAGGCACACTGCACACATCATGTATACTACTGAGATGGGACTGATCATAGGTGAGTTGAGGTGCTGGTTGGTATTATGAGGTACTAACTACTAGCAATGACACACACAGGACTGCGAGTTGTGATTTTGAGGCACCTCAGAAACGTACCACTACTACAAACAAAGCACCAACACTCAAAGGACTCAGAGTTCTGCTTTTGAGGCGCCTCACTACTACAAAGCAGCAACACTCACAGGACTCTTAGTTCCCCCAGATTGGACAAGCCCTGCGGCACACTCCCAGTGAGGCCATTATTGCTCAAGTCACTGCCATGACACGGACGCAGCAGGCCAGAAATGCAGTCAGAAATGCAGAAACGCAGAAACAGGGTGCTTGGAGCATACGGTGAAGAGGGGAGTCGAACATTCATGATGCGCGTGATTCTGTTGATTGAGCTTGGGCAGCGAAGGCGCAGACTGGTTGAGCAAGAGGAGGAGGGAAGGGTGCTTGCTTACAGCACGGTGAGTTGCGTGAGCGTGGATATCTCATCGGGGATGGTTTCACCAAGGAGGTTGGAGCTAAGATCACTGCATTGAGAACCGATGCGTTGGATTCGAATAGAAGGGATGTACAAGCGTTATACGTAGCAGTGAGAGCAAGGAGGGGCTGGTTGTGAAAATTATTAGTAGGTCCCAATAATCTTGATCAAAGGTGAGCAACGACCACTGAGCATCCAATAATCTCCCAACCCAAGCCACTGATTCTTTGATGAAATGTTGGTCGGAGAAGCGATTCAATTCTTGGACTTTAAGTTGCCTTGGTTGAAGTTCTAGATTTAACCATCGTAAAACTAGTCGTAAACCCAAACTAGGTTTGGGTGCCGAACTCTACCCAAACGATGTGAGATATATGCAGGATGCAAGAGGGAGAGGATCCAGACACGTACAACACTTGGAGTTGCGTGAGCTTGGATATGTCCTCGGGAATTGTTCCATCAAAATCGTTGGAACTAAGGTCTCTGCTTTGGGAAGTACAGATGGCATGTGCTGATTGGAAGAGGCCTCGGGTGAGGAGGAGTTGTATCAACATGCATGCATGATCAACCCAAGTTAAATGAAACAAGTTGATGAGGCACAGCTGGTGAAACATTGGGTAGAACACACACACACACACACACACACACACACACACACACACACACACACACACACACACACACACACACACACACACACACACACACACACACACACACAGTACTCACAGCAAAGTGAGTTGCGTCAGCTCTAAAACTTCCTTGGGGAATGTTCCAGTGAGGGAGTTGGCGCTCAGGTTTCTGGAATGGGGAGCACAGAAGCCAAGGGATGGGATAGTCGATACGGATGAGGCCCAGGGAAAGGGGTTGCTTGCCAAAGGGTGCGTGCTTGCATGTAGTAAGTAGGTGGATGAGGCTCGGAGCGCAATGCTGCACAGCCCAGCACAGGTGGATGGATGGATGAGGCACACAGTGCTTGCTTACAACACGGTGAGTTGAGTGAGCTGGGATATCTCTGGGGGGATGCTTCCATCAAGGTAGTTGGAGCTAAGGTCACTGCTTTGGGGAGTACAGTAGTGTTGAAGGTACATGCATGGAGGTTGGTGCAAAGGGATGGAGTGCAATGCTTGGTAGGTAGAAAGGTTTGGCGAGAAGTTGTGTTAAGGTACATGCATGCATGGAGGTTGGTGCAGTGCATAGAAATGGGGGAGGCAGGAGCATGTTTACGCTTGATGGTGGGGGTCAAATGTCAAACACATGTTGTGCAAAGGCAGAGGCTGGAAGCTAAAATCACTTTTGCAGCACGGTTTTACAAACTTTCACAAAGGTGGCACTTCTGCACGCGCAATGGACCTATAATGCCTAGATAGTGCACGTGTGGTACTATCGGTCGGTCTGTGCTAACCTGTACTGACCGGTACCAATCGGTATCAAGCAGCAGCAAACGCACATGTATGTGAGGGATGGGAGCACGTCGGCGCTGCTGCTTTGCTGCTGTTGCCGATTGTTTCCCCCCCTGATCTGAGGTTGAATGAAGGGAGGAGATGCAAAGGGTGTTGAAAGTTGGGGGCATGTGTATCTGAGAGGAACGGCAAAGAGGAAGCACTACAGCAATCACTATTAGATGAAGAGAGTGGGGATGTTGACAGGAACGAGGCAAAACGAGGGAGGTGAAGAGAAAATGAAGAATGAAAACAGAAACAGTGCTCCACGTTAAAGGAATGTAAAGAAGAAACAGAGGAGGAGAAAGGTGAGAAGGAAAAAGGAAAAGACGTGCATTGGATTGGACCTGAATGGAAGCCTGATGTGTGTTGACGTGGTGCAGTGGTGACATGATGGCGTATTGACATGAATGGCATGGGACGCGGCATGATGATGTGTCGTTTCGTGATGGTTCTGTTGGCATGTGTTGGCATGGTAGTAGAACTTACGACCCCTGGTTGTCATAAAAGAAGTTGGGAGGAATCCTGCCTCTGAATAGGTTGCCACTCAATGAACTGACCTCAAAGATCACCCGCCCCTCAATCCCCACCACACGTGCAAGTTGTGCATGCACTCACACACACGCACACGCACAAGCACACACGCATGCACACATGCACACGCACGAGCACGCATGCGCGCTCACACACACACACACACACACACACACAAGCCCACGCACACAAGCAGGTGAACAAAACAACCACGAATAAGCAACAACCCCAACCTCTTCAAGAGTGTCACTCAGAGCCTCAGAAAGAACACAAAATGGTGGACACGCAGAGTAAACTAGGCTTTAACGACTGCATACAAATGTGGTGTGCACATAAGCTGGGCATGTACCCCCATGTTGGGTGTACATTTGTGTTTGCGGGAGTGCCCAACACAAGGTAGGTTGTGATTGGTGGTGCCTATACCACCAGCATGATGGACCTTTGATTATGGTTGGTCCATTCAACTACATTCATCGACCAATGATAGTTGGACCTCCCAACTACCACTTTGTCACCCCAATCATATCCTTCCCTCCCATCCATCCCTCTCTTCCATCATATAAAATGCCCGAGGCCGAATTTTTCTTGATCAACGCAATCTTTTCCCTTTCAACAGACAACACAAGACAAGACGGACTGACATCCTGGAAATTGCAGGCCCGAAAACAGCAGTTAAGGGTCCCTCCAGCCTGTTGTCATTCAGGTTCCTGCACAGTGCACAGCGCACACAGTGCAAACAGTGCACAGGAGCAGACAGAAAGAAGGAGAGAGGAGAGGGAGAAGCAGCAGCTGTATGAGAAATGGATGGGCACTGGATGGGGCATAAGGAACTTGAGGTAGGCACGTGGGAGGAGATTGGATACGGAGGAGGAGGAGGAGGAGGAGGAGGAGGAGGAGGAGGAGGAGGAGGAGGAGGAGGAGGAGGAGGAGGAGGAGGAGGAGGAGGAGGAGGAGGAGGAGGAGGAGGAGGAGGAGGAGGAGGAGGAGGAGGAGGAGGGGCTTACAGGTCATATAGGACTTTCAGGGTAGAAAGCGAGTTTGGGATGCTTCCCTCCAATCGGTTGCTACTCAAGTCCCTTCAGTCAAGGAAGACAAGAACAGACAGATGAACAATGATGGCCCCATGAATGATAAACAGACGAAGGATTGATGTACCAGCCAACAGATGGGTTCAGAAGGGTTCAGATAAGGTTAGAAAAGGTCGGATTAGGTCAGACAGTGTCTGATGGGATCAACCGATGTGGCATGTGGTCAGGTAAGTCCAGCAGAGGCACACACAGACGTGAGTAGACATGAGCAACGCACGAATCCGAACACGTTTGACTCGAACCTTGCCGAACATGTCGGATTTTCGAACCGAACATGTTCGGTTCGTTCGAACAGTTTTGCAGAAAATACATCTTCGAAGTTCGCCTTCAGAGACAAACACTTGGATGTTCGCGGGAACATTTCAAGGCTCGTGACGAATTCGAACATGTTTGAGTTCGCCATTCACATACTGGGGGTTTCCGCGTACCAAAATTTCGCGCTCCACTGTTTCGATTCATCGCGACAGTGATTTCGCAATTTTCGCCCAGCCAGCCCACCCCACCCAAAACCCACCGTACCGCAATGCACCTCCCAAACCCAACCTGGCCAGCTGACTGAAGCAAACACATACTCTCTTCACACGCTACGTTACTGCTGCAACTACGCTAAACCTAATCCGCGCATTTTATGGCGGAAATGTCTAAACAACCTAGAATGTACGTGGTTTTGGCGTATGTAAGTGGCTACGTAGTGCCTACGCCATTACTAAGCTTACGCTAGTGAGATTGAGATTGAAATGATCTCAAGCTCTGATTTCCGCAACCCTAAATTGCAAACCAGCGCGGCCAATGTTGCGCTGGTTTTTCCACGAACACATTGATGTTCGCGTAGGTCGATTTCGAACTCGAACATGTTCGAGGTTCGTGGCGGCGGGTCAAAAAAGGCCTTTCAAACTGAACATGTTCGGCCCAAACTCGAACATGTTCGGGTCAAACATTTTTGGCAAAAGAACAAGGCCTGTTTGGTTCGACTCGAATTTTTGCTCATGTCTAGACGTGAGAGCATGAAAGGAATGTCTAGTCTGGGTAGATGGTGAGGCGATGTCAACGCTACTCTACACAGTGTGGTGGAATGTGGAATGGGAACAGACTGCATGCGTGCATGGTGCAGAAGGCTGAGCACACACACAGTGGGCAAGCACACAGTGAGCATACCCATGATCATTAGTACTAACATTACCATTACCATTATCATTACCACAACCATTACCATCACCACTACCACTACCATTAACATCACCAATACCACTACCACTAACATTACCAATAGCAATACCACTACCATGATCATTTCCATTACCATTACCACTACCACTATCATTACCATTACCATTACCAGTACCACTATCATTACCATTACCATTACCATTACCACTACCATAACCATTACCATTACCACTGCCATTACCACTATCATCACCATTACCATTACTACCACCACTACCATTATCATTACCATTACCGTTACCAATAACATTACCATTACCATCACACACAGTGGGCAAGGGCGAGCACACAACAAGAGGGTGCAGTGCAGTGTGGAAGAGAAACATGGCGAGTGAGATGTGAACTTCACACATGGAGCATGGAAAGGGAGGGAGGGAGGGAGGGAGGGAGGGAGGGAGGGAGGGAGGGAGGGAGGGAGGGAGGGAGGGTGGGAGGGAGGGAGGGTGGGAGGGAGGGAGGGAGGGAGGGAGGGAGGGAGGGAGGGGAGGGAGGGAGGGAGGGAGGGAGGGAGGGAGGGAGGGAGGGAGGGAGGGAGGGAGGGAGGGAGGGAGGGGGGAAGGGAGGGGGGGAGGGAGGGAGGGGGGGAGGGAGGGAGGGGGGAAGGGAGGGAGGAGGGGGGGAGGGGGGGAGGGAGGGAGGGGGGGAGGGAGGGAGGGAGGGAGAAAGGGAGGGAGAAAGGGAGGGAGGGAGGGAGGGAGGGAGGGAGGGAGGGAGGGAGGGAGGGAGGGAGGGAGGGAGGGAGGAGGGAGGAGGGAGGGAGGGAGGGAGGGAGGGAGGGAGGGAGGGAGGAGGGGAGGGAGGAGGGGAGGGAGGGAGGGAGGGAGGGAGGGAGGGAGGGAGGGAGGGAGGGAGGGAGGGAGGAGAGGGAGGAGGGAGGGGAGGGAGGAGGGGAGGGAGGGAGGGAGGGAGGAGGGGAGGGAGGGAGGAGGGGAGGGAGGGAGGGAGGGAGGGAGGGAGGGAGGGAGGGAGGGAGGGAGGGAGGGAGGGAGGGAGGGAGGGAGGGAGGGAGGGAGGGAGGGAGGGAGGAGAGGGAGGAGGGTGGGGAGGGAGGAGGGGAGGGAGGGAGGGAGGGAGGAGGGGAGGGAGGGAGGAGGGGAGGGAGGGAGGGAGGAGGGGAGGGAGGGAGGAGGGGAGGGAGGGAGGGAGGGAGGGAGGGAGGGAGGGAGGGAGGGAGGGAGGGAGGGAGGGAGGGAGGGAGGGAGGGAGGGAGGGAGGGAGGGAGGGAGGGAGGGAGGGAGGAGGGAGGGGAGGGAGGAGGGAGGGGAGGGAGGGAGGGAGGAGGGGAGGGAGGGAGGAGGGGAGGGAGGGAGGGGGGGAGGGAGGGAGGGGGGGAGGGAGGGAGGGAGGGGGGGAGGGAGGGAGGGAGAAAGGGAGGGAGGGAGGGAGGGAGGGAGAAAGGGAGGGAGGGAGAAAGGGAGGGAGGGAGGGAGGGAGGGAGGGAGGGAGGGAGGGAGGAGGGGAGGGAGGGAGGGAGGGAGGGAGGGAGGGAGGGAGGGAGGGAGGGAGGGAGGGAGGGAGGGAGGGAGGGAGGAGAGGGAGGAGGGAGGGGAGGGAGGAGGGGAGGGAGGGAGGGAGGGAGGAGGGGAGGGAGGGAGGGAGGGAGGGAGGGAGGGAGGGAGGGAGGGAGGGAGGGAGGGAGGGAGGGAGGGAGGGAGGAGAGGTGCCTCTCACAGTCTGAGTAAGTAGAGAGGGAGAGGTGGAATCGAGCCTGTCAGCTGATTGAAACCCAAGAGCCTGTGCACATGCCATGTCAAATGCTTGATACGCCAAGAGAATTGCTTGACATGGCAGGGAAATTGCATGATCCGCCAGGGGAATTACAGAACATGGCATGGCATGACAAATGCATGACACGGCAGCAGCGCCACCACAAGCAGCCAACCATGCACGACGCGACACATGGGCATTGCCTTGCCTTCTAAGAGCGCAGAACGCAGTGAGAGCTGCGCGCGCGTGGCATGGCATGTGTGTGTGACACTGCGTGATAGCATGTGTAGGCATGTGCTGTGCGGGCATGTGCATGCATGTGCATGCATGTGCATGTGCAGGCGCATACACAGAACAATAAAAGAGCTCAGTGTAGAGACTCACAGGTGATTCAAGGAGCGCATGGTAGTGAGCTGAGAGGGAATGGATCCCGACAACTCATTGTGATGGAGTTCCCTGGCACACAGCACAGCACGGGACAGCACAGAATCCCACAAGATCAATGGAGTTGACTTTTGAGTGGAATCAAAAGGCAACTCATTGTGGTGCATTTCACTGGCACACAGCACAGCACAGAACCCCACAAGATCAGTGGAGAAGGGGAAGAGTAAGTCAAGGGGTGGGGTAGAAAGGAGGAGGGGGAAGGAAGGTTTAGGCGTACAAACAGCTTTGCGCATGGGCTAGTGCTAGTACGCAAGCATATGTCACTATGCAAGCTTGACTCCCCTTGGACCTAATCGGCTGTTAGGGTAACTAGCCAACGAACAATCAATCAGCTGCCCTGCAACGAAAACATTTCGGTATGCGAGCAGTACTGAAATCATATGTTCAGCAGTATGCATGAACGTGTGAGTGTGCATGTGTGTGTGAGTATGTACTATGTATGTGTGTGTGAGTATGCATAGCCCCGCATGTGTGCATCACATGTGTGAGGGAAGGAGCGGCGGTCTTACAGCTGATATATATCCTTCATCACACTGAACTGAGAGGGGATGGAACCTGACAGCTTGTTCGTATCCAAATGGCTGAGTGCAAGCGAAGCGACAAGCATGCCACAAAAACAGAACAACCAAAGGGAAAGGTTGACTTGAGAAGAGCGGCGGCGGTGTACAGGGGAGGGGGAGTGGGGGAGATGCTTCGTGGGCATCAGCAGTTGCGGACTTCAAGGTCAGTCTTTTTTTGAGGCGCCTCAAAAATCAGCAGTTGCGGACTTCAAGGTCAGTCCTGTATAGTCGACGTCAGGATAAAGCAGCACGAGTAGGGGTCTTTGCCTTTGTTCCCCCTTCCCCCTCCCGATTTGCGAAACCAAGCTCTGTTCTAAGAGTCGTTCAGTCGAGTATTGAACGGACAAGGGAGGGAGGAACAGGTTAGCGACATTGCAGCGTCAAGGTCAACAAGAGGTCAAGAATGAAAACAAGGTCGTGTTGCTGCCCCAACCCCATTCCCTCCCCCCCCACACACACACAAAGCACGCACGAGCGCGCGCACGCGCACACACACACACACAGCACAGCACAGCACAGCACAGCACAGCACAGCACAGCACAGCACAGCACAGCACAGCACAGCACAGCACAGCACAGCACAGCACAGCACAGCACAGCACAGCACAGCACAGCACAGAACAGCACACCTCGGTGCAGTTCAGCTATTCAGAACTGCTGGCACTCACAGTTTGCGTAAGTTGGTCATGAGGATGACAGCAGCAGGGATGGGTCCTGTGATAGCGTTGTTGCTGTAGGACCTGCCCAGCCGAAACAAAGGGCATGGGCATCCACAAAGGGCAGGGCAGTCCAAGCGAAGCAGCCAACCAACACATCCATCATACCAGTCCACGCAAGCATGCAACGCCACCAACCAGTGCGGCTTCAAATCGTGCACGAATCCGCGAAACCGGCAGGGCAGACAGAGGGTGTGGCTAAAGAAAGGCAAGAGTCAAGTGTACTAATGAGGAAAATATCAGAATCTGAATTGGTTCGGCTCAAACCTGCTCAGCTTTTTTCTCTCAAATATTGAGGTTTGGGGTCCGACTTTCAAAATTGAACTTTAGGCTGTTTGACTCGAACCGGTATAGTTCAGATCGGTTCGGTCCGGTTCGCTCTACACCCATAATTCATGGCACATTCCATAACCATTACAGGAGATACAATGGGAAGCCCCTGCAGACATAAGTAAGCACTTCACAAGTCGAGTTTTACTCGACTCGTTTTCTTTTGGGCTAAGACAAAAAGGCCGTACTTTCCAAAGATTCCGCAAGGAACGGGTGTTTTGAATCAAACTGTTGCACATGTGAAGTGAACTCACACGAATTTGAGAGAAGGAAGGCAGAGGGTGGCTGGCAGCGGGCCTTCCAGCATGTTGTTAGACAAATCCCTTCACAGACATGACACATGGCATGGTGTGGGCACAGAGGCATGGCATGCAGACATGGCATGGGGACATAGCATGGGGACATAGCATGGAGACATAGCATGGAAACATGGCATGAAGACATGGCATGAAGACATGGCATGGGGACATGGCATGAAGACATGGCATGGAGACATGGCATGGGGACATGGCATGGGGACATGGCATGGGGACATGGCATGGGGACATGGCATGCAGACATGGCATGGTAGAGACGAGGACCTGGCACGGTGGAGTGAAGGCCTAGTTGCTCACAGCATGCATGCTAGCGCAGATTTTTTAATCGACTCAAAAATCGACTTATCACACATGCCTAGCTGCTCACACCATGAATGCTAGCGCAGAATTTTTAGTCGACTAAAAAATTGACTTATCACACATGCCTAGTTGCTCACACCATGCATGCTAGCGCAGCCGAAAGACTGCTGCAGTGCAGAATGCGCAGGCAGACAGACTGCTGCAGTGCAGTGATGTGGCATCGCGCAAATACATGGGCGGACGCAACGACTACAGCACCAATGTCAAAGCCCCCTCATGGGATTTAGGAGGCCTCACTTACAAGGTGTAGAGTTAGGCGCCTCATAAATACACAGGGGGGCGGCGGAATGACTACAGCACCAATGTCAAAAACGCCACCTGGGATCCATAAAGCCTCACTTACAAGGTGTCAAGCTGATTCATAGTGCTGATTGCTGCAGGAATGGAACCAGTAAGCATTTTTTGCAAGTTCCTGAAGCAAGAGCGGTGAAGACGGAAGGAGAGATGCACCTAGTTGGAAATCAATCGAAGCTGGAAAAGCATAGCGATACCACTGAAAACCACTGCAGTCTTCTTCAATATCTGTTACTATCGGGAATACTTTCAGATCAACGTTACTCCACATGCTGGAGCTAAGAAGGGTGATGCTTGATTGCGTAGGATGGACGGACAGACACACACACACACCACAGAGGAAAGACAGACAGAATGACAGGACGGTCAGTGTGGACAGTGCGGACAGAGGCTTGCCAGGAAGAGCAAAAGAGACGATTATGGAAAGTTGAGGCGAGTCAAGGAGAGGGATGCTTACAAGCTAATGAGATTGGTCAATGCGAGTATAACACTTAGTGACGAGCCCAAACGAGCGTCTGTCAAGTAACTGATGTGGGGAGAGAGCAAAGCAAGGGGCACAAGAGGAGGGCGAGAGAGGGGAGGAGTAGACATGTGAGAAAAACAAGGTGGACGGAAGGAAAAAGGTGGGCGGCACAAGACAGGCTGGAGCAGCAAAGCAGCAGGGGCACATGCCCACTAGCAAAAGCGTGCGTGCGTGCGTGCGTGCGTGTGCGTGTGCGTGTGTGTGGGGGGGGGGGGGGGGGTGCGTGCGTGCGTGCGTGCGTGCGTGCGTGCGTGTGTGCGTGTGCGTGTGCGTGTGTGTGGGGGGGGGGGGGGGGGGTGTGCGTGCGTGCGTGCGTGCGTGCGTGCGTGCATGCGTGCGTGCGTGCGTGCATGCGTTTGTGTGCGTGCGTGCGCATGCATGCGCAGTGGCAAATGCAGCGATAAAATAACTGACAGCCACACACAGGCATGCATGAAGCAGCACACACATGCGAGTGGGCATAATACGGATTCATATGTGCTGAGCATAGGAAGGTACGTGTTACATGCACCAGGAGGCACGGGTTGCATGCACCAGGGGGCACGCACGTACATGCATGCACGACGTATGTAGCATGTATTACTGATATTTGAGCTTGGTGAGGTCACTGATGGAGGGGGACACCACTACGTCTGTCTCTGATGACCAGCTCAATCCCCTGCAACGCACAGCACGCTCAAAAAGAAACAAAAAAAGAGCTCAACATGAGCAGACAAACACTCTGCCCAACGTTGGGCAATCACATACCACCAAGGGTCGTGAGCTGGTACAGGGCCAACTGAATCTGAGTCGCGTTTGAGAATTCCCAAGCGCACCCCACGAGAGTGTTGTTCACAATATGGCCGGGCACTCACATGCCACCGAGGGTCGTGAGCTGGTACAGGGCCGACGGGATGCTCTGGCTCAAGCCTGTTATGGAGCTGTCGGGACCGGGGGAGGGAGGGCGAGAGGGGGGTTGGGGGGAGGGGGATGTGTGGGGGAGAGGGGGAGGGGGGGGGTCCACAAAGCATGAGCACGCATTGGGGGATGTGAGAGCATGCCTGGGTGCACACATGTGTCTGGGATGTGCGGAGCGCACACACCGCGAGTGTGTGTGTGTGCATGCATGTCTGAGAACAGAACAGTTTGGCTTAGTCTGAGCGAGATCTGCTGCGGTGATTATGTTTCATTCCTTCTGGAGATTCCTGACTGGCAATTAGCAGGCAATGAATGACGCAAGGTGCTGGGGGGATTACAGACTGGCACAAGGAGGAGGACGACGACGAGGGCAATGCAATGCATACATAGATATGACAAAGCCGTTGTTGTCGCATGTGAGGCCTTGCGTTTGCTTAGAAAACCCGAAGCATGTGGATCCGCTGTTCCACGTAGAAGACTCTAGGAACGGGCCGGCAGTGAGGAGAAACTCTTGCACGATGGGCCCTGCAGCAGGGAAGAGAACGGGTGGACAGGAAAGAAACAGCGAGTGGCAAATGGCAGAGCGGATCAGCACGCGCAGCGCAACCCACGTGGCATGGAAGGAGGGACATGGAATGGAAGGAGCGGGTGCGCGCATGCACGGTGCCAGCACAACCATCCATGCTAGGTGCAAGGATCAAAAATACGACCGAAATATTGATTTTAGGGCCGTATTATACGGTATCATATTATACGGTCGTTTAAAACGGTTTAGTACGGTTAAATGTTATTTTTTAATTTCGATTAAAAATACGATCGTTTTTTTCGACCAAATTTTTAGAACGGAGAAAGTGTACACCGAATTTCAACAATCAGCCCCGTCGAGTTCGTTTTGGGGGATTTCGTGAGAAGTCTTGTGAGTCTCGCTCGAATTTGGCCCGAGTCGCGCATGTCAGGAAAATGGCGTGGCGCGACATTTTGACATCTGACGAACGGTATAAAAGCGCTTACCCGTTTCGCTGAGTCGTTTGAGTAGTTCGCCGAATCGCGACGACACCAAATTTCCGAGGCGCGGAAATGTACACCATTGGCGAACCCCTTGAACCTTGGTACCCGTTTCGCGGAGTCGTTAGCACAGCTCGCGCGCTGGGTTTATTTTTCGCCCCCAATCCTGACGCCTCGCACAATTGCGCGCGACACAATTCCAGCCAATAGTAATACGCCAATCCATTTCCCATCTCACGTCATCCATTCTTCAAACACCCCTCGACAAAGCAGTACAAAGAGATACATATTGGAGGAGGAAAATCCCATTCGACACATCCTCTCTCTGGCTGCCGTATCTCAGAACAACAATCTCTGACCCACGCTTTCTCAACATAGTCTAGTGGAACGCCATGGTGCGCCCCGCTTCTCAGTTTTGGGAGCACGTCATTAAGATTAAGGATGACGAAGGCAACGTAGTCGGTGCTACCTGCATTCATTGCAAGAATCCTGTGACGGCTAATGCGACTAGGATAGGCGAGCACATGTTCGGCACTAACAAGAGGGACAAGAACGTTGCGATGTGCAAGTCGGACTACGCTAAGCAGCTGCGGGCGACAGCCGATCAGGAGCGCTCGACCACGGAAAATGCTACGGGAGGATCAACCCGTGCCTCCACGTCCTCGGTGGAGGCGCCGCCCGTGCGTCGCTCCCGGCAGCGAGATATCCGTGATATGACGGACCAAGTTGCGCATAATCGCCTTGATTACCTGTGGGCTGCTGCAGTAGCCGAGAACGACCTCGCCTTCAACGTCAGCAAGTCGAAATCGATCCAGGCGTTCGTTGACGCGGTGATCATGTACGCGAAACCGTACACTCTCCCAACCCCGTACAAGGTATCCGGCCCATTGCTGGACAAGCTGAAGGCGGACTCCGAGGACCTGCTGCGGCCGGTGAAGGAGAGCTGGAAGACCAGCGGGTGCTCGCTCTCCGTCGATGGATGGACGGACATCAAATCCCGCGGTTTTGTGTGTGTCATCGTGCAAAATGACACCGCACCCGTCATTGTCGACATCGTTGACTCGAAGACCGTAAAAAAAACCGGGGACTACTTGGCAACGCTTATTCAGGGAGCCATCACCACTGTGGGGCCGAAGCATGTCGTCCAAGTCGTGATGGATAACGCTTCGAACAACAAAAACGCCGCCAGCAAGCTAAGCGCGGATTATCCCCATATCTTCTTCACCAACTGCGCCGCCCACTGCCTCGACCTCATGCTGCACGACATCGGCAAGATCCCTGCGGTGAAACTCGTCTTTTCCCAAGTGCATCAGGTTGTGATGATGATCAAAGGCTCCGCCTCGGCCGTGGTCTTGTTCCGTGAGCTTTTTACCAAGCTCTCGTTGGTGCGGCCTGGTGCAACGAGATTTGGCACCCAGGTCATCATGCTCGGCAGGTTCCTTGAGGTGAAGCGCGCGTTGAGGGCGATGGTAATCAGCGAGGAATGGGAGGATGTAGCGGTGGCACGGACGGAGGAGGGGATGGAGGTTAGGAAGCTGTTTTTGGACGACGTTTTTTGGGACTGTGGGACGGCCGTGCATCGCCTCATGACTCCCATCTACGAGGTTCTCCGCGCCGTCGACACACGGGCTCAAGTCATGGGGCAGCTGTACGGCCTCATGCTTGAAGCCACGGTGAAGACTAATGCGGCGGCTGAGACGGCTGAAAGTATTACGCGATGGGTATTGATTGTTAATCTCTCCACCCACCCGCTCATGCTTCCTATCTAATTAGTGCTCTTTATTCACTGTGAGCAGCCGCACACTTCATCAAGCGGACGGGTCTGCTGTTGCCTAAGGACAGGAGCACTTTCCTCACCTCCATCAAGGCGATCATTGCCAGGAGGTGGGATGCACAACTGCACAACCCCCTGCATGCCATCGGTTGGCTCCTCAACCCCCGTAACCAGTACATTGGGGAGGTAAGGAATGACAAGGAGATTAGGAAGGGGGTGGATGAGGTAATCCAGGCCCGGGGCGGAGATGTGCAGCAGCGCATAACGCTAGCTGCACAGGTGGCTCAGTTTCACCGAGGGGAGGGCAGGTTGGGCTCTGACGATGCCCGTTGGGCAGCAACTACCTTGGTGGAGGCGGGGCGCATGACGGAGGCGGAATGGTAGTTCCTGTTTGGTGGGGAGGTACAGGCGCTCCAAGACCTGGCTGTGACGTCTTTGTCACAGCCAGTCACCTCCTCCGAAGTGGAGAGGTACTGGTCGGCGCTGGCACGTGTGCAGAGGCGCGACCGGAACCCCCTCACGGCGAAGAAGATGACCGACGTCACCTTCGTCGCCTTCACCCGGCGGGCCCGTGATGCCTTTGATCGAAAGGCAGCCCTGCGTTCCAAGCTCTATCAGGACCTGGGCAACGGCACCCTCAGGGAAGGGGCTGCCATCATCCCGGCCGAAGTGGAGGTGGAGGAAGGGGATGCGGAGGAGGAGGCACCCGTGGAGGAGGAATGCACCATTGATTTGTCGGAATTTGGGAGCATCGGCAAGAAGAGGAAAGGGAAGGCGGGTAAGTCATCTAAAGGGAAGAAGAGGGGGAAGGGCAACGGTGCATGCAAGGGAAAGGGGAAAGGAAAAGCAGGGGATGCGGAGGAGGAAGAGGAGGCGGAAGAGAGCGGTGGGGAGGAGGAAGAGCCTGCCCTGAATCCCAAGGGGCGATATGCCTGGGATTGCAGCGACGGTTCAAGTGGGGAGGAGGAGGAGGAGGAAGAGGATGACGAGGAGTATGACGAGGAGTATGACGGTTAGAGTGGGGAGGGAGGAGGAAGAGGATGACGAGGTGGTGGAGTAGAAGAATAGAAGGCAGCAGGGTGAGTATAGTGGGGTGGGGATGGACTTAGGAGGAGATATAGGCTAAAGGCCGGTACTTGCCTAGGTATGCATAGGGGTAGCGGCAGAATTAGTGGACCTTAGCATGCCTGTTTCTCCTTATTGTAGGTTGTTATCGGTTTCCTAGTCTTTGTTGTAGCCATTTCAGTAGATTCTGGAAAAATTCTGACTCAAAAAGGGCCAACAAAAAAACGACAAATTTTTTGGAAAACCGAACGTATTATACCATCGAAAAAAACGCCCCGTATAATACGATAGCCGTATTTTTTATCCTTGGCTAGGTGGATGGATGGATGGATGGATGGATGGATGGATGGCATTCGTAATGCGCGGCGCAGGGGATCCAGGACGCGGGGGCCTGTGAGAATGGCATGGGAGATTGGCATGGGAGTTTGGCATGGGATGATGGCATGGGATGATGGCATGGGATGATGGCATGGGATGATGGCATGGGAGGATGGCTTGTAAGAGAGAATGGCATGTGACAACGACATGAGATAATGACGAACTGCAGACACTCCCTTGGCGACAACTGGAAATTTAGACTCCCTCTCACACACACGGAGGGAGCCATGTGGGAAGGCCAGGTGCTCTGCTCTGTGCTCTGTGGGACTCTCACTTACTCTTCTCTGTGCCTGAGTGGCTGTGGCTTCTCCGCAATCATGCCTCACACGGGCTCGCCACTCTGCACTATAATGACAAGAACTCGCCGCAAGCAAAGAGCGACTTTTGAAACGTCTCAAAAGAGCGCACTCGTACTAGGTGCCACGCGTCCCTTCCCACCACACCCCCCCCCCCGTGCGTCGGTCGCTTACACTGGGCAGCGTTGATGGCAGTGGCGGCGGCTGTGAGCGAGCGGCGTGGGAGCGTTCCCGAGGGAGAGGGGGAGAAGAGGCATAGTGGTGATGGCGCCAGGAGCAGCGACAAGAGGAGAATAGCACGCAGCGGCAGCAGACAAGCACTATGGTGTGCGGCTGATGGTGCAAAGTGTCGCAACGACGGCACTGCTGCTGCTGAAGGTGATACGGATGATGGCGAAACCGGCGATTTCCTGCGTTCCCTAGCCCATCTCGGAGGTGCTGCTACCACCCATCCTTTCTCCCCTTTCGTTTTTGCCCCCTCATTGCTTCGACTCCCTCCACTCGACGCGTCGCTCTCAACGCGGCACCTTCCTGCCAGAGCCATGGCTGTGCGCTTGTCGTTGAATCGCAGCACCTTTCTGCAAAAAGCAGACGGCTAGGGATGGACGGAGGAACGGCATAAATCTCTTGGTATAACACGCTTTGAATTTCCTACTACTAACACTATAGTAGTAATTACCTCACCTCATGCCTCAACCGCGGTACGTTACGTTGCTGAAGCGTAAGAAGCGGCGGGGCACGGCGTGGAACACGCTGAACAAGCCTCATGCTCAAGATTGAGCGAGGCTCACCCTACACCGCACGATGCACTGTGCTGTACAGTACAGTACAGTACTCGCCGCATTTTTCTTCTGCAGAGGTTGCCTGCTTGGCAGGCCACCTCAGGTCAACGCCTGCAGCAGGCCAGGGCAACAGGCGCGTGCAGTACAGCGCAACCGTCCTAGATATTTCTTAGTAAGTACGGCATACGCGCCAGTAACGCTACCGCGATAAACGGTAGCGACCGTGGCTACTGAACAAGCATGAACAACACAGCGCTGAAGAAATGGCTGTACATTTGGAAAAGCACACTGCATTTCATGCTCTTTTGTTTTGGCCCTCCCGTGAAGTGGGTCAGCGGTTAGGTGTGTCACTTCAAAATGACCATCAGAGGAGCTTCCACCTCACCACTTTGAACCTGGACTCACCGGCAAGGAGAAGTTTGAACACCCTTTTAACTCCTAACCCGGTGCTGTAGATCACCAATGAAAGCACAAATGCTGTAGATCACCAATGTTTTTTTTGTTCTAGTTGCTAGTAAGTGATAGCAATAAATATTTAAATAACCTGCATCTACAGCATCTGAACTTTCCAGATGTCCCATACATGCCGCAATTTGGTCAGCAGCAGACAAGTACCGACACTCCGTGCTATAACTCTTCATTGACCTGCTGACATGGTGGCAGGCACATCCGAGCTCGGGGGGCGTGGGATGATGAAGAGAGCAGAGGCTTCGGAATATATCTCTGCGTCCTCACTTGGGTCGCTGCGTATGGAGCCACACAGGAAATACTGGCAGGTTGGGAAGAGAGAGAGAGAGAGAGAGAGAGAGAGAGAGAGAGAGAGAGAGAGAGAGAGAGAGAGAGAGAGAGAGAGAGAGAGAGAGAGAGAGAGAGGAGGGGGGGAGGAGAAGGGGGAGGGGGGGGGAGAGTGAGAAAGGCGGAGTGGAAAGGCGGGGGGAGGGCGGTGGGGTGGTGAGGAGGGTTGGGTTTGAAAGAGGGGATGTAGTTTGATGAAAATGCTTAAGAGCGGAAGAGAGAAGGTGTGTGGACGCTGCGAGGATGAATTGTGGTGCGGATACACATGCACACGTACCTTCCTTCCCTCCACTCGATCTAGAGCCACGTGCATGCATGCAGTGAAAGCTGCTGGTAGAGGCTGTGGCAGACAAGTAATCGGGAAGTAACAAGACAAAAGGGAAGGGCAGCTAAGGCTTGGTGCATTGACAAGGAGGTTGGGGGTGGAGGAATGGAGGGAGAGGCAAAGGAAGGGGGAAGGGAGGGCGGGGTTGGGGAGAGGAGGGGGAGGGGAGCGGAAGGGAGGGGAGGGGGAGACGCGCAGTGCTCATAGCAGACATGGCATGCGAAGCATTAGCACAGCACACAAGTGCTGTGATGATGACTACCCAAGGAACTACACACTATATCTAGGACACTCCATCTCTAACTCCTTTAGCCAGAAATTCCCCTCCCATCCGCCATGTTCTCCTCACATTCCTCATCACCCACTCATCTCCCCCCTCGTCTCCCCCTGCTTCCCCATGAGCGCCCTCACCTTGCGGTAGTTAACACTGATGTTGGCAGTGAAGCCATGGCCCACGCCCAGCATGGCTGCACGCACACACGGAGAAGAGGGGAGGAGAGGAGGAGAGTGGGAGAGGAGACGCGGAGAGGAGAAGAGGAGAGGGGGAGCGGAGGAGAGGAGAGGAGGAGAGGTTGGGGAACGTGGGAGTATGTCAGAAAATGCGTTTGAGTCATTTCAATGTCAGAGGTTAAAAAACAGGAGTGGAGGAAGAGAGGGAAAGAATGAAGCAATTAAAGGGGCGCGGAAGTTTACAACGGAGCAGTGGTGGACAGGGGAGGTGAACGGAGACAGCGATTGGTACAAAAGAGAAATGGATAGAAAAGGACAGCGGTACAAGCAAGCGCGATCAGCCGGGAGCAGGCAAGAGCAGGCGAGAGCAGGCGAGAGCGGGTGAGACTGGGAGAGGAAGCACGGACCGAAGAGCACGCCAAAGGTCTCGTCAAACGCGAAGGCAGTGGCGCCGCCATGCACGACTTGCGGATGCCCCACCATCACCCTGCGCACCGCAGTGACACGCGCGCGCACACCGCCAAAGACACCGCCATGCCCGCGATACCCGCCACACGGCCGCGCGCGGGGAAAGGGAAGGGGAGCGGAGATGGGAAGAGGGGTGGGAGGTGCGGGTGAGAGATGAGCTGAGAACCGTAGTGGCAGGAAGAGGGAGAAAAGGAGGAGGAGAGAAGGGAGAGAGTGCGGAGTGAGTGGAAAGGGAGTGCGGGGACAGGAAAACCGGACCGGCGGGTTGGTAGAGAAGCCAGAGGGACAGAGGGATCTAGAGAGGGATAGAACCCCCCGCAGTTGAGCAATGGAGAGTCATTGAAGTCCACGTTTGCGCGACTCACTGACTGAAGCACCACGTGCAGTGGAGCGCGTTTCGAGAAGGCGAGAGGTAGAAGCGCACTGGCCGCACCGCCCCGGAGGACTCCAAGGCGTCCCGCTAACACGCGATGGTGGACGCGCGCGGACCGGGCGGAGAAGCGCGAGTGGGAAGAGTGGGATGAGTGGGAGGAATGGAGTGCATGAAGCGAATGGGAGGGGCAGGGAAGAAAATGGTAAGAGCAGGAAACGTAGACCGAGAGGAGGAGGGAGGAGAGGAGGGTAAGAACAACCACACATAATCCGTCCACGAAAAGGTTTTCACTCATGCGAATCCACCTATCACAGTCGCCGATCCCGTCGCCGCCCTTATCCTAAAAAGCAATACCTATTAGTATTAGATGCACACGGCATGGGACGATGTCTCACCATGGAGACGTGCTTCCACTTCCACGATTCCGCCACGTCAGCTCGTTCGCGCAGCCATTGCGAGAGATTCGTGGTGTATTCGACGTCCCTATTCCACCGCAGCTCCGTTTCCCACGAAGCAACGGGGAATCCCTCGTCGGCACCACCGTCGCGATTGTAGTCGTCCGCGCGATCATCGCACTCACTGTGACCTCCGCGATTGCCGTTCTCCTCGTGACCACCTTGCGCCGTTTGCCTGGTAGTATGGTTATGTGGATGACAAGGAGTTTCCGTGGACGGTGAGGCGTGCGCGCAGCGGAATGAGCAGTCGGCATGCGACTGCAAAGGACGCGCCGCGGCTTCCATCGCGCTGCTTCCTGCGTTCTGCGCCTCGATAAGCTGAGCTTTCGCCATTGAGGTGAGATCGTTCTGACTTATCGCAAAACAAAACAACTTGCGTGATAGCAGGAAGACTCGAGGAGTTTCTCTGATAAGTCAGCTATTCTTCTGGAAGTTGAGTGAATGCTAAACGTAGTAGCATGATCTGTATTCAAACAAATCCAGCGTCGGCCTACACAACACGTCCCAAAAGGACGCTCCACCTGAATGCGTGTGTTGTCGCTGTGCCAACGAATGAAAACTCTGCCCGTGCCATAAAATGTCACAAGCCACCACGACCATCCCTTTCACAGACACAACTTTTGCTTGCGGCCAATATCATTGATACTCAAAGTATGCCAGAGAAAGTTTGCGTCGGTGCTCAACCTCGATTCCTTATCGCTGATTGGTTATCGCTTTTTCAATCACACTTTCTCGCAAATAATACCTCCGAAATAGTGACAGAAATAATACCTAAAATAAATATGAACAGTTGTGTCGAGGTGCTATCCAAGAAATATAAGTTGTGTCAAGCACAAGCTGCGATAAAAAAAACCATCAGGAAAAAGGATGCAGACTGGAAGTCAATTTAACGGAATGGGGTCAACGGCACCGTCAACCCTCAGTCGACCATGGACCTGCTGACTTAGAACAGAAGAAAACTAAAACTACATCGAATGACATGCTTTGTAACGATGGCATCAACCTTAAAGCCCGCGACCCAAATCGCGGGCCGCGAGGGTCAAGTTTTTAGAACTTGACGAAGTTGAGTGTCCAAGCTTTTGAAAGTCACGCACTTGCAATTTGGGACTTTCGAAGACAGATGTACTCACCAGGGGGAAAACCGAGGGTTGGCTGGGTCTCGCGAAAAAAACGAACCTAGACGAAATTGGAAACTCTCGCCAAAGCCCACTCCAGAAAAACTCCCTCTGGTCAACTTTTAAAAGCATGAACAATTTGGGCCGCCGGCTTTAAATGTCATGCTACAAGGTGTTTATGGTTGATCTCATCCGGACTGGATGTCTTTCCGCATGGAGTTTAATTTTATTTGCCTGCGGGCAGCAAGCTCTGCTGGACAGTGTTGTTTGTTTGCTGTGATAATCCAAGTGGAAGGCATAGTTCTAAACACTTGACGGCTCATTTAAGGTTAATATCCGAGCGCTTTAGTATTTCTTCTGTTTTGTTGGGTACGCGCGGTTGAGGCGCTGGTCGCGAATTTGTTTTATAATTGTGCTTAAAAATAGTGAAACAGTAAGTTTTGCTCCTATACCGAGAAAATGTTGGCTGATTACGTGTGCGAACCGCGCTTGGCATAATCTGAGTATCATTGATATTGGCCGCTTTTGCTTGCCATGGTGATGCTGGCGCGCCAATATGGTACAGTATCTGACATGACATGGTTCGGCGTCGGGGGAAGAATCTCGGCGCGCTGATTGGTCATCCGAGTTGCATAACGGATGGAAACAGAGGGCTAACCTCCCACCCTCCCACACTGTGTTAGTAATTGGGAGGGTGGGAGGGGGAGGGGAACGTTGGTCCTTCGCCTCGCCACTTTGCGCCATCTTCTATTCCCCTCTTCGTACAGATGGGGATGGGGTGGGCTCGTCGTGGTGGGGAGGAGAAATGGTGGCGGACAGCGTGGGCCAGCTGTTTCGCTTTGGTTTGGAACTCCCCCCCCCCCCCCCCCCCCCCCCCCCCCCCCCCCCCCCCCCCCCCCCCCCCCCCCCCCCCCCCCCCTCCTCCCACTCCCCGAGCCCGCCTCACCCACAAGTGTTTGGATTGGATAAAATTCCACATCGTTCGGAACCTCAGCTTCCGACCAATAAAAGAGTCGACGAAGCTGGGTCAGTGAACTTCCACCAGGCTCGAGCTCCGTTTCCCTCCAAGATTCCCCAACCAAGCGCAGAGCGACAGTGGCAGAGGGAAATGATGGGCCCCCCTTCCCTGTATGACTGGGCTGAGCTGGAGGCCGCCGCGGCATTGGTGTGGCGGTGTGTGTGGCGTGGCGCAAGAACCACACCACCAGCACTTCGCGATGGCGGCTGACTGTCGGTGGGTATGGCTTGGTGTGACGATAACGCGTATAGCTGCACTGATAGCGGGAAGAACATGTACAATAAAATTGAACAACAGTCCATCATCCAGCCACTAGTTTCAATGTGAATGTAGCACTAACCATCAAATCCCACAAGTTGCCAGTCTGGAAAGTGCAGGGATAAATTCTGCAATTATTTGGCCACAAGAGAAGACGCTCCATTTGCTGCCTGCAAGGACACAGATCAGGCAAAGGGCCCCCGACGATGGAGGAGGTCCACAACAATGTGGTGAGAACTTTTGAAGAGAGAAGTACCAGCCGCAAGCCATGCAGGAGAGAGTACGTGGATCGTTCAGGCAGCCGCATACCAGAAACTCGTCAAGCTCTTTGCAGATGGGCTCGAACTTGGCTACTAGCTCCTGAAGCTCCCCATGGACACTGTCATCACCCAGCTGTTTATAAAAGTATGAACGCTCAGGGCAGAACTTCAAGACAACCTGGATGGGCAACAATGAAGGAAATATTAGCCATTATGCAGTATCTGCTATTTAAACCTGCAGAGGGAAAGGCCAGGAGACTGGTACGTATCCTTGAGAGGACTTACTGCAAAAGCCTGCTGAGTAATCCAGCCATGATACTTCTTTAACCGTGTCTCATATGCAACAGTGGCAGCGTGGGACACTGACCAGTCTGTATGTTGCTCCAGCCCATCCACCATGTGTATCACAAAGTCAAGAGCACTGCACAGGTCATGGCATAGAGACAGTAAATGTGTGCTTGAGAGAGAGAGTCAAATATTATCTTGACATGACGAATGCATGGTGAATGAGGAAAGAAGCTTTTTACCGTGTGAGCCAGAAAAGTCCACTTGTGTTCCCATTTGGGTCCAAGGGCTTGCCTGTGGCGACCTCCTTTCGAACCAGCTCGTACAACCTGGTGTAGCTCTCCTTGTCACCATCATAGGCCTTTTGCAACCGCTGATAGCACGAAAAGAACAACAAGGAAACAATATCGGTTTCATGAGTGCTGGATATTGTGATGATATCGAGATTAGGTGGAATGCAAGATGAAGCACGTAGTCCAGTCTAGATTTCGGAATGCATGGACTGCACGAAGGCTGTCCACATTGCAAAATATGGTAACGGCTTGTAATTAAGGCGTGCTGGCGCCAACTCTTCCGTGGTGTTTGGGCCGTCCTCCTAATCAGACAGCAAAGGGAACAACATTTCAGCAAAATCCTCCTGACTGTAAAATTATCATTACCGAGATGTTTCCACTTATGTCGGTCTTTATGATAGACATCGCGGTCCCGAATTTATCTGCAGTCAAGCAACAACGTAAGCAGAGACTGACCTAAGCCAATTCGCAAGTACAAAAGGTAAAGCCTATCGCGAAATCAAAAGCAGCTGGAGAGACTGGGTGCGAGATTTCGTCAAGGATGACATTACCTACGATGGGCAGGATCAGACGACAAATGTCGAGGAAGTTGACGGTGAGATACTCCCCTTCCTCGTCCTTCAGCTTCGCAAACTTCTCCAGCACAGGAGTCACTAACGAGTTTCCAGCAGCCATGGCCGACGTGCAAAATGATATGTCAGAAGGAGAGAGTCTGAGCTAATCGGAGGCAGGGAGCACCGTCTGATGACAAATTTCCGTTTGCGTTCTGCGAGTTCCCAAGCCACCAAGAAAGCTGCGGGAGGATCCTCGAGAATGCCGGAAATCAAAGCAGGGTGGTGGTGGTGTCTGAAGCAGAGGGAGGGGCGAAATTGTCGATTGAAATTTGGATGGTGCTGTTGGGAGGGCCGTCAGAACATGACACAATCGAACGGCCGAACATATACAGTACCAAAAGAAATGTACAGTTCCAAAGGTCAAATATTGGTGTCTAATGCAGGTCACAGTTGTATCCAAACAATTTTACAGACACCAAAACTAGTCAGCGAACAACCTGTGCACAAATGCGAAGGGGAATGGAAATGAGCTCTTAGCAAACATGCTCACGTATGGAGGCATGGAATCGACAACCCTTTTCAAACTCCATTCAACTCCACCAGAGCTCTCCACTTCGTGAGCATCCCCATCATCGAGGCTCACGTCTCCTCTCACAGTCACCAGTGGCTTCCTGGAATTTTCATATCCCTGGCCTTGTGAATTTCCCGCAACTCTGTCCCGCATGTGGAGCACAAGCAGGGCAGTGGGACGCAGCTTCAAACGATTCGCAAAAGAGCTCTTTCCCGACTGTTGCGAAGGCAAGCCGGCCTTCCACGTGAGGTAGTGGAGAGGGGTGGAGTTAGCTGGAAGTGAGAGGTGCCGTGTAGGCACCAGCGGAAGCAGTGCTGCTTAGGGTGGGAAAAGGTTTTAGACAAAGGAAGAAAGTGAGGGAACCGAGTGGTATTGTAGTGAGGGAGATTAGAGTAAAAGATGTGACAACTCATGGGAAAAGTGCACGTGTAACATGGCAGGACTGGACCAGAGAAGGCAGGGGAGCGAGATCGTGTATTACCATGGAAGTGACCTGATGGATATTATGCATGCATGTCCGTGTCTCTGTCTCTGACTCTCTCCTGGACACGGTTCGTGTGTAGAACAGGCCATGGGGAGGAAGGAACCGCGTACCATGGTTCTGAGGAGAAGTGGGGCGCCAGAGGGAGAAGGCGGCCACACGCGAGTGGTTGATGGCCACATGGAAGCGGCGCACGATGGGACGCACGGATATCAGCACCACATGCACCATGGGATGCGGCAGTGCAGGTGAGTCCAGCTGAGATGTGTCAGACTGAGCGTCAACTCCCTCCCTCGCACCGCTGCTGCCACTGCCACCGATAGAGCTGCCAGGTCGGTCCCTGTTTTCCTCCATCGCCTCGTGTCGCCCGTCCCCATCACCTTGGGCCGCCCTGTGTCCCCTTTCCCCTTCTTGCTCCACCCACCCGGAGTCGCTGCAAACTGCACACACAGCCAGGCACCGTAGCTGCTCCTGCTCCCGCCCCTGCTGCTGCTGCTGCTGCCCCCCCTGCTCCCTTTGTCCGCCCTGCTGCTCCGGTTCCAAATGCACCCCTCTCTCCTCCTCATCTCCCGTTCCAACCTTCCTAATGCTGGCACTGATAATGGCTGCTCCATGCATGTCAGCCGTCTCTTGGCAACGGCAACCAGACTCTGTACTGCTGCCACTGCACATGGTGTTGGTGATAGAGCCAGACAGAGGGAGACTGAGTGCAATGGATGCAGGGTGGTGGTCTATCACTACCTCTTTCCCATGCCCCTTTCCTACGCCCCGCCTGTCACCATAGCACCCAGACTTCACACTGAAAACGCCTCCAAAGTCCAACGACGGCCATATGCTGCTGCCACTCGCACTGCTGCCACCACCGCCACTGCCAGCGCCTCCACCGCCGCTGCTGCTGCCGGTGGTGTCGTAGGAGTTGTTGCTGGTGGGCGAGGTGTTGTGGGTGCAGTGGAGGGGAAGGCCTGTGCGGGCACTGATGGCTTCTGCCTCTCGAGTAAACGGCCCGGGGGAGAGAGGCGAGATGATGAGTGAGCAGAGGGGGTTTTGTGCGAGGCCAGAGGGGTGAGAGGACGAGGAGGCAGAGGAGTGGGGAAGTGCAGGAGAGGTTGGGTGGCAGGATGCGGGGGGGGGGAGCATGGAGGGAGTGTGGTTTCCGGAGAGTTGTTGAGATGTGCAGCGAGTGGCAGCTTGACATGTGTCCAGAAGCTGGCATGTTCAAGGAAGGGGCATGGAGGGAGTGCAGTGCGGTGCAGTGCGGTGCAGTGCGGAGACGAAACGTTTCAACAATGCATGGAAACGGAATGGAACGCAATCGCAGCTCATGCGAAATAACGAGATGTGGTATCATGGCATGCGTTATGACATGATAGAATGTGATATTCTGAGATATGATGCAAGCGGATGAGGTGTGCGGTATGGGAGGAGGCAGAAGGGAGGTGGGGGGGGGGGGGGAAGGGGGCGGGGGGAGGTGAAGCAGATTCATTTACTCGAGGCGTCTGAAAAGCGGTCTCAACCAATCCACATCGGAGGATCTCATTGGCGCCATCGGCACAAGGAAAGTCCGACAAGTGGCTCTTCAGGCTCGGTGAAGTGCTCAGTGTTGCGTTTTCTACTCGCTTTTGATTTTGTATTGGTTAGAGAAGAGTGTCCCGTTTGTTGAGACGCTTTGTTAAAAAACGTGTGTCGTGATGATGAACGTACCTCACGCTGCGTGACACAGGCTGTGAGTTCTTGGGGCCCCTAATAACAATCAAACTTAAGGCCCTCCCTCTACAACACGCATGATGCAATGAAATAACTGTCAGCCCCCACTACCAATCCAGCCCATCCCATACAAGGCTGAGAAAGGGCTCAAGAGAGTTCGAGTTGATGCATGCGTTGGGCAGGGGAGGGGAGAAGAGAGGAGGCGTGGAGTGGGGAGGGAGGCTTACCAATACAGCCCTTGGGTTGTGTGCGGTGAACGCAGGTGGTTGGTATGCGTAGAGGCATGCGATAGAGACACCACAGACGAGCACAAGGGCAGGGCACAGGAGGAGAGACGCCCCTGCAGGGAGGAGGAAGAGAGCCAGTGGGAGGGGGAATAGGCAGTGCTTAAGTGTAGAGGGAGAAGACGGGAGTGACAAGCACAGGAAGCAGGCAGAAACAGTGTGGCGGGAGGGGGCGGGGAGAGCGGTGGGAAGGGATGGTGTCAGGTTCAGGAGATTGCACGAAGTTACTGGGTTGAACAAACTGACCCCTCCCTTCATGCCTCCCCCTCTTTCACCATGCCAACTCACCGCCCCTTCCGCTTTATCTCCCTCTCAACCCAATCCACCCCACTCCCTTTTTTCATTATTGCATTCCCTTCACTTTCACCCTCCCAGCCTCTTTCCTCCCTCCCACGCTCTCTCCGCTGGGCATCAGTGGTCCTGACCGTGCTTGTGAGCGGAGGGCAGCAGCAGTGAGAGCGTGAGGCACACAAAGACCGCCACCACGAGTGCTGCCACCACGTTGCACGCCCACAGGGGCAGAGTCCCGGGGCTCCTGCAGAAGGGGGGAAAGAAAGGGAAGCGGACGGGAAGGAGAGCAGGAACGAACTATAGCACATCTCAAGAGTCGAGCGCTGTCACCACGTTGCACACCCACAGGGGCAGAGCTCCCGGGCTCCTAGAGAGGGGTAAGACAGGGAAGGAGACGGGGAAGCAGATGGGGAAGGGGAAAGTAAGGGGGACAAGCAGGGGGACAGGGAAGCGGACAAGCAGGAGCACAGGGAAGCGGATGGGAAGGAAACAAGAAAGATATTCAAGACGTAACAAAAGTGGATCCAGACCTTCTACAAAAGAAAGGGGAGGTACGGGGAAGGGGAGGGGAGAGAAGGGATGGACGAAAAGGGGGATGAGGAAGAAGACGGGTACAGGGGAGAGGAGGGGTGGTTGAGAGGAGCATGTGGAGTTGCCAAGGGCATGAGCAGGAAAGGGTTGAAAGAAAGTAGGAAGGCTGGGACCACAGAGATGTGAGAGAAAAGAAGGGATTGCAAGACAGAGGTACCGCATGGCACAGTAGAGAATAGAGCAGAACCGCACTGCACCGCCGTGCCGTGGTGCTGCGCAACACTCACATGTCAGCTCTGTGGAGGGCGCCGAGGACGAACTGAGGGAAGGCGAGGAGGATGTTGGCAGAGAGGGCAACGGGCACACAGCAGCACAGCACCGCGCCCAGCACGGACGGTGCTGAGAGCAGTGCTTGGGGGAGCACGGACGGTGCTCTGGTGGTGGCGTGGTGTGCGGCAGGGTGGGCGAGGAGGGAGAGCAGAGCTGCAGGGAGGAGGGGAAGGAAGGGGAAGGGGGGGGAGGGAGGCCGGAGGTGGTGAGAGTGGGAGTGAGGGAGATAAGAGATGGAAATATTTGGTTAGTGATTGAAAGGGGTGGGGGTGAAAGGGAGAGGAAGCCAGAGAGAAAATCATGAGATATTCGAGCTGACTACCTATGCCACTCACTCCCTCCCTGTGCTTGCCCCGTTCACCCCCCTTAGCTCTCATCCCTGCACCCTGCCTCCCCATGACCCCATATTACACCAGACAGGCCCCACCTGCTGCTGCCCCACCTGCTGCTGCCCCACCTGCTGTCTCTCACCCCTCACCTCGGCCCACTGGCATGAGCAGCCACACAGCAGCCAGGTATGACGAGCCTGCACCACCCCTCACACCCATCGCTAGCAGCACCACCCACAGCACTACTCCCGCCACCCACTGCCACCCCTCCACTTCCCTCTCCCTCTCCCTCTCCCTCTCCCTCCTCCCTGCCTCCTCCCCTCCCCCCCCTCTCATCTCCCTGTTGTTTCTGCCTGTGTTGGCCCTGCCAAGCCAGGTAAGAAGGAGAAGACGACCTAAGGAGGAGCCGAACAGAGCACCTGCTGCTGCTGCTGCAGCGAAGAGCGGGAGGAGGAGGAGCGGAAGAGAGAGGAAGGGGGTTGGCGTGGAGGGGAAGAGTAGTGGGAGGAGGAACGCGACAGAGAGTGGGAGGAGGAGGGAGTGGAGGACGGTGAGGAGGAGGGAGAGGAGGGAAAGGAGGAAGGTGAGAGGGGAGGAGAGGATTGAGGGGGCGAGGAGGAGGAAGGTGAGTGAGAGGAGGATGCGGTAGGTGAAGGTGGCAGTGGTGGTGGGGATGACAAGGAGATGACGCGCCTGGGGGAGTGGGAGAGAGGGGGATGGGAGAGGGTGGTGGAGGAGGAGGGGAGTTGGAGAGGAGGAGGGAGAGGGGGGAGAGAAAAGATGTGAAGGGTACACAATGGAAGAGAGGAAAACAATCACGATTCACTAGAGCCACCAGCAGCCTCCATCACCCACCATCACCCACCATCACCCACCATCACATCCATGAAGATCGCCTCACTCGGCTTGAACTTCACCGCTCCCCCCTCTCCCCCACCACCACCTCCTCCTCCTCCCACTCCCCTCTCCCCGCTCCCCCGCTCATCTCTCGCCTCGCCCAGCCCATCAGCGCGCCCACCGCCCTGGTGCCAGGGCGCGGGGTGGCACGGCTGCAGCGCGAGCAGGGGCGAGCGGGCGATGGCGAGCAGGAACGGCAGCAGGTTGTCTCCCAGATGCTGCAGGGAGCCCGGTTCCAGCAGAGGCAGAGCGTCAAACTGGTGGGAGGGGGGAGGGCGGGGGGATGTGGGAGAGGGGACGGGTTTGAGAGATAGAGGCAGGAAGGGCAGCAGGTTGTCTCCCAGATGCTGCAGGGAGCCCGGTTCCAGCAGAGGAAGAGCGTCGAACTGATGGGTGGGGAATAGTAAGGTGGGGTTTGATGTGATCTGAACGCAAGAGGATGGTTCAGATATGAAAGTTAAAGGGGAACAGATTAGACATCTCAAAAGGGAAACGGTAAACGAAAGTGAAACGGAAAGGAGTGAATAATGAATGAAATCTTTATGGCAGCAGGGGCATGGAATGGAAGGCAGGCAGGGCCAACCACCCTCGCATGGTGAAGTGTGCGTTGTGCTTTTTAAACCCCAAGTCAAGCTTTTTTTTAAAACGTTGGTCATAAGCCATTTGTTAGACAAGAGTAGAGTAGATTAGAAGCATTCTGTTCATTTCACCTTGGTGTGGTAGACAGCACTGTTCTTCATGAACACAAAGTCGAGCCCGGACAGCCCCCCCTTGGCCTGATACACTGCAAAGTCAGTACCTGCGTTCAACAGCCCACTGCGGAAAATGTCCTGATGGGAGGAGAGGGGGGGGGGGAAAAGGAGATGGTCACATGAGAAAGGGCAGGAGATGCAAGAGGGTTTGCAGAGGGCTAAGAAGTAGGGAGCGGTTTGTAAGGGGGAAGGTGGGCACAGCAAAGAGGGGAAAGAGAGAGGGTGGGGCAGGAGGGTGGGAGGATGGGATGGGAAGGGTGGGAGGGGCAGGAAGGCAAACCAACGAGGGGGTTGGGAGGAAGGTGGTATAGTCACGACGAGCGCAAAAGGTCGTGTGGAAGGAAGGTGGCAACAACGCATGTTTGGACGGCGTGTGGGAATGATGCGATCAGTTTATCTGAGAACCGATAGTAGAAACAGTTTATATAAGGAACACAAGCACTGCAAGAGAGACAGCTGAAAGCAGGAAGACGCACCTGAGCAAACACAATGGCGAGGGGGCGAGGGGCAGATGCTTGATACATGCGCAGTAGCCATGCAGATGGACCCGCCTGGGTTGGGCATGCAGGGTGGAGAGGGGTGGAGACGGTTGGAGAGGGGTGAGATGACGATGGGTGGTGGAAAAGGAAAGGGGCGAACGGGAGAGGGAGGGAGCGGCGGGAAGGGGAAGGGGGAAGAGAGTTAGGGATTGGGAAGAGAGATACTGGTGGGGCCGGGAAGATGAGAGAGAGATGAAGCGAAGAAGGATGGCATGGGCACATGCACGAGTGGATGCGAGAAACAGGGGCATGAAAGGCAGGGTCAAGGAGTCATAGGTATAAAAGGCAGGGGCAAGGAGACATAGGCATAAAAGGCAGGAGAAGAAAAGCGGAGAATGAAGGAGGAGGAGAGCATGGGGAGGAGATACCTGGAAGATAGAGGAGGGCCCTCCGATCCCCATGGCCTCGAGGTCAATAAACGCCCGCACTGAGCGCGCCCAGGGGTGCTGCGTGTGGGTGGGTGAGGACGAATGAATGGTGGGGGTGGTGGGGTTGGTGTGGGTGGTGGGGTTGGTGTGGGCGTTGATCGAGTAAATTGACGGAATGGGGAACGAAGACATGGGGAATGAGTAAATTGAAGGAATGGGGAAGGAAGGAATGAGGAAGGGAAGGAGGCACAGCTCTTCTTCCATGCCCGACTGCCTGTTTGTCCCCTCTGACCATCGTCACCATCTCCCTCCCCCATTCCTTCCTTCCCTGCATGCCTCTCGAAGCAACTAGCTCTCCTTACCTGTGAAATGAAGGCGTGCGCGCCAATAAGCCCCTCCTCCTCGCCACTGTTGAGCACAAACACCACATCGTTCTGCACCGCATCGTTCTGCACCGCTGCCCCGTCCTCCTCCCCAGTGACAGAGGAGCGTGCGAGGGCATGCAGCACGTTGCGCATGAGCTCTAGCATGACCGCCACGTTGCTGCTGTCGTCGCCCACTCCAGGGCTGGGGGGCGCGCACAGGGGGGAGAAGAGAGAGTGATTGGGAGAGAGTGGGGGTGGGAGCAGGAGTGTCGAAGGGGGAGCGGGAGAAGGGGAGAGGGGGTGAAAGAGCGGTCAAGGGAGGAAGGCAACAGCGGAGGAGCAGAGGAGTAGAGACGGAACGTGGGAGGGTGTGCGGGCGAGTTCCAGATGCGAGGAAGAAGAGAAGGAGGCAATTGATGCATGGCGTGCAGTGCAAGAGCCACGCGGCGTGGTGTATGATTGATGGTGTGCTCTCATCTCACCCGGTAAAGACAGTGTCAATGTGAGCGGACACCAGCATGGATGGGCACTGGAAAAACCTTTTTTGAGACGCCCCAAATGGCGCAAGGCATGTGGTGGTGTGTGGCAGTGAAGGTCTCGTCTCTCACCCAGTAAAGACAGTGTCAACGTGAGCAGACACCAGCATGGATGGGCGCTGGAACAAACGCCCGTCAGCAGACGACTCTCCTGCACCAGCAGAGGCAGCAGCTGCAGCAGCACCATCATGACCAGAAGCACCAGCGTCGTCAGCAGCACTAGGACCCCCCCGCTCCCCCGCATGGCCCAGGTGCGGGCGCACCCCCACGCGCACGAGCACGTTGCGCACATGCTCGTATGCGATGGTCATGGTGCCGCCCCCCACTGTGAGGCCCTTGCCGATGGGCAGCCACCCCGCTGCTGCATGCTGCACCTCCACGTCCATGCACGCTGCTGCTGCCGCTGCTGATGGTGCTGCTGATGATGGTGGTGCTGATGATGGTGGTGCTGATGATGGTGGTGCGGTATGTGTGCCTGTGTTGTCAGCGCTGCATGGTGGAATAGACCCTCGGATATCACTGATGGCCTCGAGAATGACCTGGAGAGAGAGAGCGAAAGGAAGCAAAAGAGAAGTTGAAGCAAAAGAGAAGTTGAAACGAAGAGGAGAGCAAGAGAACAAGGATGTGCTGTTACCAACTTTCATGCTATGCAATCGTCCCAACGAATTTTACTCTCACCCCACGTTAGTACCACACGTAAGGCTCGAAACTGCAGACAATTCCGTGCATGGAAAAGAACCAACGAACAAACATGCAAAAAAAGCCAAGAAAACTTCCGATTACTCCGCTTTCTCTTGATCGGATTGCGACGATTCCATATTCTCTTTATCCCCCAATCTTCTGCCCTGCTCTCACTCACCTCCATCGCTCGTTCCAGCCGAGGCGACGCGTATTCGTGCGGACCAATGGCGGCCAGCCGTCGCACGTGCTCCATGGCGCGCTCCTCCGAGAACGACCACGGTGGTGCCACGTCAGCCGGGACGGGCGCTGGCAGCGCGACTGTCCACGCATAAACGGCCCATATAAGCGCGCCGAGCGTCCCTGCCGCGGCCAGCCAACGCGCAGCCGCCAGAATTCGCTGCGTGCTGGACGGATGTCGTGGGCTCACGGGAGCCGTAGGATGCGCCATCTAGTGGCCAAGAGGCTTAGAACTAATCGTGCTTTTGATAAACTACCGCTGACACTCAGACTGGTGACATTCAGACAGGGCCACTGACATGGGCACTGAATCCTCGCGTTCTTTACTAGACTCGTGCTACTAATTTGTGAGGGAACCGAGAGAGCTGACTGGATTTGACCAAATTTGTGGTGTACGGCGGCTAACCCGAGGGAGATTCCCAGGGCTTGCAGAATTTCAGATTCGTTACAAGGTGCAGCGAAACATGACCCTTTACTAGTTGAATAAGAAGACTAACAATCATACGAAAGCAATATACACACGCATTAATCAAGAACCACCCATTCGATCCATAGCACCTTGTACCGGTATCTCACACACATCACACCATAGCAATATTATACCCACCACGCAGTTTAAACACGACAGGCTATAATGTAAAAAAATGTGCAGCTCCAGAGTTGTCGCATCCAATGCATCTCATGCACATAGTGTAGTGTACACCCTGTGGATGCTAGGGTGTTGCTCCCTGAGCCGAGACAGTGTGTCCGTGTCAAGCTGGCACATGGGGAACACGGGAGAATTGGTGGCATTAAAAAGGATGTGCTGAGGTGGGGTGGGATGGGATGGGATGGAATGGGATGGATGGAATGGGGTGGGGTGGGGTGGGGTGGGGTGGGGTGGAATGGGGTGGGATGGGATGGGATGCGATGCGATGGGATGGGATGGGATGGGATGGGATGGGATGGGATGGGATGGGATGGGATGGGATGGGATGGGATGGGATGGGATGGGATGGAGCAGAGTGCTACCTGGGCAAAGCTAGCACAAGGTAATGTACAAGAGAAGTTGCAGGAAAAGAGAGACAGACTGTAAGAGGGAACGAAACCACGAATCCAGATCTCAATGGTATAGCTGTGCTACTCTCAACTGAGAGTCGTCTAACCCTATCCCCTACATGGCCAAGAAAAGGCGGGCATGCACATTGGGACTATGTGTATTTTTGAGCTGACTGAACGATCGCCTGCTTGCCCACGAAAAGGAGGGGACGTACATTGGGGCAGTGCTGCACGTCAAGGGTTTCAAGGGAGGGACAGCCCGCCATGGCCGCAAGCAGCACTGAGGACGACAGCGCACACATCTGTCACAGCACAGTTGGAGGGGTCAAGGGGAGGCGGGCAAGGGGAGGGCGGGCAAGGGGAGGGCGGGTGGAGGGTGGGAGGGTGGGGTTTGGGGCGAATGAAGGTGGCTCGGTAGAGGGAAGCATCTGATGGGCGGAAGGAAGCACCGGGGGAAGGGATGGGGAGAAAGAGAGGAGGAGGGGAGCGGGAGTGGTTGCACGGGGATGGTGTAGACTGGTGGTTTGCTGTGTGCTGCAGGTGTACTGTACTCTGAGAGCTTGCGACATGTGGCGACAGCACAACAAACTGGTTGTTGAGATGAGACAAGTCAAGAGGGTTGGTTGGTACAAAACGCTGTGCATTCCATACATGTTGTCGAGGTGATAATCTGGCTTGGCAGGAAAATGGATGTGCCAGAGAAGGCGACGCATAAGGAGCGCACAAAGTGCTGGCGCAAGGGCTTGGGTGAGGGCTTGGGTGAGGGCTTGGGTGAGGCCTTGGGTGAGGGCTTGGGTGAGGGCTCGGGTGAGGGCTTGGTTGAGGGCTTGGTTGAGTAGAACAGGGGTTACCTGGAGGGTAAGTGTGGTGAGACGAGGGCAGTCGAGGTGCAGAGTAACCAGTGACTTGCACTTGCTGTTTGGGTTGGGCGAAGAATGGACAGGAAAGAGCATTCACACGAGGCACGGAGAGAGAATGATGACGCAGAGACGAGGAGGACAACACTGTAGAGAACACACATGGAGAAGAGTAGAGAAGGAAAGAGCTGATGGAGTGAGTAGAGCATACTGATGCGAACATGTTGGGCTGCAGCAAAGGACAGGGAAAACATAATCTGACAAGTCAAGCACGCCCCATACGAAACCAAGACATGAATACTGGAAGCGTCGAGGTATACCTGAACGATCTCATTTCACAGAGAGTTCTCAGCTTACCTGAGGTTGAGAGAGGTGAGGTGCGGGCATGCGATGTGTGCTTGCGTGACGTTAATGGCGAATGTGAAGTTGAGTGCTGTGAGGCGTGGGAAGATGGAGGGGTGTGGTAGACGAATGGAGGTGAAGCCATGGCAGCCCACACAGCTCAGCGACTGCAGGTGCCGGTACTGCTGCTGCACTGGGATGACTGGATGCTGCTTCTGCTGCGCTTGCTGCTGCTGTTGGTGCTTGCGTTCCGTCATGCTGCCTGGTACCGCCTCCACCTCCTCCTCCTGCGCACACTGCCCACTCTGCCCCTCCTCCCAATCCATCTTTCCAGCAGCAGCAACAGCAGCACCACCACCATCACCAACCCCACCACCACCAGCCTCAGCATCACGAGTCTCACCAGCAACAGCAGCAAGAGCAAGCGCTCTCCCTTCTCCGTCCCCAGCAGCAGCAGCAGCAGCGAGGTCATCCCACATACTGTCATCTGCCTGCGTGCACCCGTTCAAGGACAGGTGCAGTAGGTGTGGACACCCACCCACCAGCGCTGCAAGCGCCGCCCTGCCAATACTCCCATACGATATGTCCAGCTCCTCAAGGTACGGCAGAGCACCGCGTACAACCCCGCTCACGTCCTCTGCCGCTGCCGCTGCCGGTTTACCTTGCTCTCCCTCCCTGCCACTGCCCTGCTCACCCTCTTTACAGCCTGAACCTCCTGCGTTGTTCCTCTCCTCCTCCATCCCTGCACCTGCTGGCGCTTCCTCTGCTGCAGATGCTTCTTCCATTGCAGTTGCGTCTCCTCCAGTCGTTCCTACTGCAGTCGCCCCTCCCGCCAACCCTCCATCTCCTCCCCCTGCCGCCCCTCCCTCCCGCCACTCCACCAGCGGCGCCAGCGCCCCTTCAGTGAGATACTTACAAGCCGACAGCCGCAGCGTGACAAGCCCATGACACGTGGAGAAGACAGGGTGCAGGGAGGTGAGAAACGTATACGACAGATCCAGACAGGAGAGCCTTCGCAGGAGAGACAACGCGGCTAACCCTGCAGGGCCGACAGTAGGGCACGCTGCGAGCACAAGCGTGCGGATTGCAGGGCAGTGGAGGGAGACGGCGAGCAGACACTCATCCGAGAGAAGACTGCAGTAAGACGCGTCTAAAGAGGTGAGCTCTGGGCAGCGGATATCAGTGAATTGCAGCTGCCCGCACCCGCAGAGCTCCAGGGAGGTGAGTAAGGGCGCGTGGAGACGGAGGGAGGTGAGGTGCGGGAAGATGCCGAAGTTGAGAGAGGTGAGGGCGACGGGGGCGAGGGAGGCGGAGGAGAGGTTGTCGCAGGAGTCGAGGAGGAGTGTGTGGAGGGCGGGGCAGGCGAGGGAGAGGGAGGTGATGCGGCGACAGCCGGTGAGAGAGAGGTACTGGAGGGACGGGGCTGTCAGGTGCACGTCGGTCAGGCCCTGCAGGGGAGGAAGGGAGAGGGAGAGGGAGAGGGAGCAGGAGCGCGAGGGGGAGAGAAAGAGGGGGGCCAAGACTCCTTATCGGTCAAAACAATGTCAAACCACCAAGTGCACAGCGAGTAGCAGCACGGCTGGTAAGCAGAGCACCCTACAGGTCCCCGGGTCACCTTACAGCCGTCCATGTGCACCACAGCCAACCGCGGACACGCGCCTTTCTCAGGCACCTAAACGTCGCCTCAAACCCTAAGGGACTTTCGAAGCAATCCTCCCAATTCCTGAGTCGCCTCCGCAATAACCCCCCGTGTGCCCCTTCCTCACCTCACAGTCGTCCATGTGCAGTACGACCAGTCGTGGGCACGCATCAACCTCACTCAGCGAGAGGAACACCTCATTCGTGAGCCCGTCACACGCAGACAGCTGCAGCTCCACCAGATTGCCACAGCGCAGCACGAGTGATTCCAGGTACAGCTGCGACCGCAGGTCCAGCCGCTGCATGGCAGGCGACCGGATCTCCAAGCTGCTCAACACCCCGTGCTGCCCCTGCGCAAAACCCTGCATCTGCCCTTCCCTCGGCCCCTCCCCCTGCCCCTCTCCCTGCCCCCCCTCACCCTGTCCCTGCCTCTGTGCCCGCCCCTGCCCCTGTCCCTGCCCCTGATCCTGACCTTGCCGCAGCATTTGTCCCAGCCCCCCTGGCCCCTGCGCAAGCCACAGTCTTGGTCCGGGGGCCTGAGCATCTGCCTGTCCCCGCCTAGCCATCCTTGCCAGCCGTGCCAGCCTTGCGAGCCTTGCTTGAGCGCCCTCGTCCTGCTCCTGCCTCTCCGCATCTGCTCCTGCCACCCCATCCACCTGCTCCATTCGCCTCTCCACGTCGCCCTCCTCCTGATGCGCCCGCTCACCCTGCTGTCCCTGATTCTGGTCCTGCCCTTGCCGCTGCTCCTGCTGCCCCCCCTGCGGCTGCCCCAGCTGCTGCTGCTGCTGCTGCTGCTGCATGCGGAGAGTGCAGTCGGAAACACCACCGACGGTGGGAGCAACCGCAATGCTCTCTAGCCTCTCGCTCGTCACACACACCTTCTTCAGCTGCCGGCACCCCAGCAGCGAAATACGCCGCAGCAACGGCAGCACCAGGGTCACAGCAGACAGCAGCGGACAGCCATCCATGACCAGACTCTCTAGCAGCATGCAGTGCGCGAGGGACGCGAGGGACGCGTTAGTAATACTGTCGCACCCCACCATACGCAGACTCGTCACCTGGGGCAGACGCACCCGGTCCAAAGACACATTCGTGCAGCCGGAAATATCCAGCGAGGTTAGGAGTCGGCAGTTGGTGGCGATCTGGGAGAGGGTTTCGTCACTGGTGTAGGAGCAAGAGGAGATGTTGAGAGCGGTGATGGTCGAGCAGTCCAGGACCGCCACTCGGAGACTGGAATCGGAGAGCTTATGGCAGCCGGAGAGATCGAGGGAGAGCAAGCGCGGGCAGAAGAGGGTGACTTGGGTGACGGTGGTGCGGGCGAGCGAGAGGTGTGTGAGCTCAGGGAGGTTCAGCATCACACGGAGGAGACAGCAGGAGAGCATGTGCAGGGTGAGTAGCTTGGGGTTGGAGAGGAAGAGCTCTGGCAGCATGGGGTTTCCCACCACAGCGTCGAGCACACGCAGGTGCGTGAGCGATGGGCAGGTGGTTTCAATACAAGCAAAGATGTCTTCGGGAATTCGTTCCATCCCGAGGGAGAGGCTGCGGAGGTGGGAGGCGAGCGGGGTGAGAATCGCCTCCACCTGCTGCTGTGTGAAGCGCAGGCCACAGAGATTGAGAGAGTGCGCCTGCGGGTACTTGCACGCGAGGCGGTGCACGTGGGAGAAAGTGGCGGCGGGGAAGGCTTGGAAGGAGAGGTGGCGCCAGAACTCGTGGTGCTCGCTCACGAGGCGCCAGCGCTGGCACACCAGGGCTGCGCGGCAGAGGGAGGGGTGGTCCAGGAACGAGAAGACGTGGTATAGCACATCGGGTACCAGGTCGGGGTGCGGGTATGGGTCGTCTGAGGGACGGTCTGCAGGGTTGGGGTTGTTATTGTTGCCTTCGTTGTTGTTGCCATTGTTATCGCTGTTGTTATTGTTGTTCTTGTTGTTGGGATCGCTACCGCTGCTGTTGCCGCTCTGCTGCCCCTTGTCCCTGCTCGCCCTCTCACCTCCTCCCTCTCCTCCCCCACTGCCACCACCCCCACTCCCCCCATCACCATCCCCTCCCCCTCCTCCTCCCCCTCCCCCTCCTCCTCCCCCCCCCTCCTCCCCCTCCCCCTCCTCCTCCCCCCCCTCCTCCTCCTCCCCCTCCCCCTCCTCCCCCTCCCCCTCCCCCTCCGCCTCCCCCTCCCCTTCTCTTTCCAACCTCCCTACTGCCTCTTCTCACCCCATCTCCGCCTCCTCCTCCTCCGCCTGCTTCCTCCCCTCCCACACCCCTGCCCGCCACTCGTTCACGCGTCCCTGCCCCTGCTCTCCCGTGTGTGTCGCCCGCACCCGCGTCATCCATCTGGGTCACGACGGGAATGTGCTGGGGCAAGGCTCCTACGTGAGGAGGGGCCGACGCTGCAACGCGAGGAGCGGGTAGCACAGCAACATGAAGGCCCACGGCAGGGCGAGGGGAGGGAAGCACGGCAGCAGCAGAAGAGGCAGCAGCAGCAGAAGCAGCAACAGAAGTTGCAGCAGCAGCAGCGGCAGAAGCGGCAGAAGCAGCAGCAGCGTCAGCAGCAGCAGCACGATCAGGAACAGCGTCACCAGGCGCAGGAGGAAGCAAGGGGCCATTGCGCCTGGGGTCAGTGGGTCGAGTGCCATCCACATCTGCACCGTTCCTCCCAAGCCTCTCAAGCCTCTCATACCTCTCATGCTGTTCCATCCTTTGAAATCTCCAGTCCATGCGCGCCCCTCCTCCCCCTTCCCCGGCACCCCCCTCCCCCACCTGCCTTTCAACGTCCCGCATCCCTCCGCGCTCCAGCCCCCGCCGATCCCTCCTCCTCTCCCACTCTCTTGCCCATTCTCTCCCGCCCCTCGTGTCCCATTCCATCGCCCTCCTCCACTCCAACTCCCTCCATTCATCCCTCCTCCACTCGTCCCTCCTCCACTCATCCCTCCTCCACTCATCCCTCCTCCACTCATCAAACCTCCAATCGCGCGCACGCCGCCTCCACTCCTCCCCGCCCCGCCTATCCAACTCATACCACCTGTCCCTCCTGCCGCCACCTTCCCTACCCACCTCTAAGCGCTCCCTCGGTCCTATCCTAGCCCAGGTCACATCAAGATGATACCGCCGCATCAGCGCGTCCCCCTCCCCCTCCTCATCATCATCCTCATCATCATCATCATCGTCATCGCCATACCCCATCAGATATGCTCTCCCACCCCGATACGTCATCTCATAATACATTGGCCCGCCGTCGGCCCGCCTCCTTCCCCAAGCCTCCACTGCCTCACCTAAACCCATTGCAACGCCAGTCCCTTGCACACGATGGGATAATAGATCCCCACGGGGAAAACGTCCAGCAAGTCCCCTACCACCTTCGCTTCCGCCCCTTCCTTCTTCCCTTCTTCCTTCCCCTTCTCTATCCCCTCCTCCTTCCCCCCCGCCTCCACCTCCTCCTCCTCCCACTTCAGCAGCAGCAGCAGGATCAGCACCAGCACCACCAGCAGCAGCAGCACCAGCACCAGCAGCAGCACCAGCACCACCAGCAGCACCACCAGCACCAGCAGCAGCACCAGCAGCAGCAGCAGCAGCACGGGCAGCAACAGCAGCAGCATAAGCAGAAACAGCAGCAGAAATAGAAGCACCACCGCCTCTCCCTGCCACCTCAATCCCGTCTCCTGCAGTCGCTTTTTCCTCTTCCACTGCTCTCGCAGCTCCCCTCCTCTCACTCCCTCCTACATCACCATCCCCCGAGCCTCCTTCTCTCGCACATCTACTTACTCCGGGCGCCACACCAGCTCCTGAGCCAATACCATCACCACCGGTACCATCAGCACCATCACCAGCACCACTACCACCACTACCACCAGCACCACCAGCACCACCAGAACCGCCACCAGCACCGCCACCGCCACCGCCTATCGCAGTGTTCGCACTGCCTTCGCGCCACCACATCCTGCCAGGCAGCGGTCCGTACCGCGTCCGAGCATTCCGCCGCGAATCACGTGACGGCATGCGAGAGCCACGAGAGGTGAACGGAACGCTAAGCGAGCTCTCGATATGAGAACGCAGCTGCTCCACACCTCTGCCTTCCCCTCCGCTCCCTTCCCCTCCGCTCATTTCGGGGCCCACACCTCCCCCCGCTCCCCCTTCCGCTCCCCTCACCTCACCTGCAGTATCCTCCTCCCCTTTCCCCTCGCGCCTATCTCCCCGGACACAGTCCGCCCGCCCACCCGTCGCTTCTTGGGCCACCAGATCCCCTTCCCGCGCGTCGCGGTATGCATGCTCGTCCGCACCTTCGTCCCCCCACCAGCCCTGTTGGCGCTCTCCTCCCTCAACTTCGTCCGCCCATCGCGGGCCCCCGCGCCAGCTCATGGCAGCACCGACTGCCGCAGGTGGGCTAACGGGCGGGAGGAGGGGAGTGCGGCTGCGGTTGGCGCTCGCGGAGAAAGAGGCGGGCGGGTTGCGGGCGGAACGCGGAGATAACGCGGGGAGGGAGCGCTGCTGCGAGTCTGCCGCTAATGGTGGAGGTGACGAACCGGTGTTGTCGCTGCGATCGGGAAAATAGGGTTAGCGGAGAGAGAAACGGATAATCAAGACAGGCAGAGAAGAGCCGAAAACGAAACGGCAAAAGAGGAAAAATATGGAGACTCTTAGGTTTCGGAGAATGTTGAAAGCGCCACAGGTTTGGCGATTACAATTTCGGCACTTCGCTCTGCAAGGGAAAACTCTAAATAAAGAAAGAGAAAGAAAAATCAAATCTAAATAAAATACAAAATACAAAAGAACGAAAGAACGGGATACAGAAAGAAAAGACATTAACGAATGATAGAAAACCGAGTTACTAGAGCAGTTTTGGAAGGAAAAACGGATCGACGTTGACACTTAAGTAATTCATGCGGCCTGACAAGGACCTACGTATGATACGCTATCACGGACAGAGAACGACGACGCATCGCGAGCTTATAAGCAACTATACTTCAGTCAAGTAGTAAGATTCGCACAGCCGCTAATGTGCAGGAAAAACAAGCTCGCTTGGTCGTGAAGCTAAACATTCCCACGCAGCAGAAAGTCAAAGCTAGCAGATGAGTGTTGTATTTCCGTACATTTACAATGCCATAATAATTTCCAATGCCTGGATTATTCACACGTGAATCTCCAAGTAGTAAAAAAACCCTACCTATCGCCGTACTTGATGCGCTTGCACGATGCGCTGACTGCGTTCCCTTCCCCCGCCACTTCCCCAGGACCTTCCCCCAGGCTTCGCCCATCCCCATCGCCCTCCTCCCGCATTGTAACGCTTCCCCTGCTATGCAACTTGTGCCGACGGAACCATTCCTTGCTGTGGCTCCCCCTGCTTCCGACTGCCTAGCGACGGGGAAGGAGGAGCTGCAAAGGAGAAGAATAGAAGACTAGACGAGGACGAGGTACTAGATATAAGAACTTTCACCCTAACTTGTGTAGCTCTCCCTTCCCTCCCCAGCAAGGTTGACATTCACCAACAACAGCAAGGAGGTAGGAGATTCGAACCGACGGTGCGACAGGTAAGGCTTGTGGAAGCAAAACGCTGTACTGTAGTCTGACTACCCCCGAACAAGCTTTGTGTAAAAGCAGTCGACCCGCAAAAGCAGGCCTCGAGAATGTCACAATTCTTCTTGTTCCCACAGACCTCTGCTGACAACAACTAATTCACGTCGGTTTGCCTGGAAGGTGGCCTTCGGCTGTCACAAAGGAAAACAAGTGCGAAGACGGTGCACCACTTTTTGCAGGGGACCTCGAGGGGAATGGCTGCTCTGACTCGTGAATTGCGGGGTAGCCTAGTACAGTATAGCTGGATTTTTTTTTTAAGCCCTCCACACGCTTGAAGCTTCAGATTCAGACTCGGGAAATCGCACTGCCCAATAACCGTTGTCTGACCACCTCAGCAACGCCATGGCAGCAAACCAAAACATGACATTTCCGCTTTGGCTGGCGTCAGCTTTGAACAAGGAGTCACCAAAACACTCGAACAAACTCGGACCAGAATATTAGGGTGTCAGATTTTGTTTTTTTACATCGAAAGGGTATCTACAACTTCAGAGTCTGACCAAGGAGTCACCAAAACACTCGACAAGAGTTCTGCAACCACGCTACGTTACCAAGATGTTCATCATCAGTCGAAAAAAATGTCAGACTCAAACCTCGATTTTTAGGTACGGAACGGAACACGTAGGCTTGGCTACGTGCCAGGGCAGCTTCGGACCTACGTAGGGGTTGCTACACAGATCGACCACTGTGTGATCATTTTCTTTCGGGCATTTATCTTATTGATAACACTCATGGAGGTCAGTTGCACCCAAGGTGAGCTATAAGTACAAATTGTAACAGTCCTGTCGTGTGATCACCCTGATGGTAACCATTCTGCCTACCTGGTCAGCATTTTTACCTGAGTGGTAATGAACAGTGCATTTCGAACTCCAAACTGGGAACTAATAATTTCAACCGTGCTGTACACCGTACGTACACAATATAACTCGGCAAAACGGTAATCGATAAGATGAAATCGTTCGCGTTGTAGTAAATTTACATGTATAACTTGAATATGTGAGTCTGAAATGAAAACAGTAAAAGCTATTTTGAAATTTGGTAACTTTTTATCGTTTAATTATAATTTATGAGCTCAAAATAATATCTTGCAAATTTTGAAAAGCTTTTTTTTGTTTTCATTTAAGAAAATCACATCTTCATATTATACATGTAAATTTATTTCAGCTCGTACAATTTCCTCTTAACGAGTGCCGTTTTGCCGAGTTATAGTGTACACGTACGGTGTACACTACGGTTGAAATGATCAGTTACCAGTTTGGAGCTCGGAATGCACTGCTCATTACCACTCAGGCAATAATGTTGACCGGGTAGGCATGATGGTTGCCACCAGGGCGATCACACGATACGATTGTTACGATTTGTACGCGTGGCATACCTCGGGTGCGATCGAGCTCCATGAGTGTTACCGCTAAGATAAATGCCCTTTTTCTTCTTACTTGTCCTCCGCCACGTGGAAAGTTGAGAACATGGATCTTCCCAAGAAAATCTGTCACCTCTGCAAAAGATTGCGGACGGTCAACTCTCTGCACCGTAATGTAAGCTACTGAAAATAATGATATATATTAATCCAACGTATCCAACCACTCTCTCATTCTGGTTTTTTTTTCCCATATGTTTGCTGGCTTACAGCTCCCTTAGCATGTGAAAGCGAGGCCGAAAATTTCTGGAGTATCACCTCCGTGTGACATGCTCTACCGTAGTTTGGGGTAGCTTATTTCGTCCACTCGAAGGCCTGTTAGTAATCGCGATCCGTCATGGCCTCTCCGCAAATTCCGAGCCCTGCGAATTGGGCGAACCGCGCGGGCCGAGAGTTCGACATAGTTGTGTTCGGCGCGTCGGGATTTACGGGACGGTTCGTGCTCATAGAGGCGATGCGAGTGGCGCGCTCGATAGTCTCTGGTGCGTGGATACTGATCGCTCCTCTGTCGCATGATCTTTCTCGATCTTTTTGCAGTAGAAGTAGATTTCTGGAGTTGGAAAGAGGTGGGGGGGAAAGGGGGGAGAGGTGCCAAGATTTTGAATTCTTGATCGTATCTTCCGCTCCCGCCCCCCTTCCCGCTCTCGCTCCCCGCTTCTGCCTTCACAGGCACTCCGCTTCCCCCTCACGCGCCCCTTCGCGTGGCGGCCGCGGGGCGAAGCCGCGCGCGAGTGGAGCAAGCGGTGGCGGCGGCGGAGGCGAGTGTGCGCAAGGAGGCGGGCGGATCCGCGGGACCGGCGGCATCCGCGGGAGCGGCGGAGCAGGGGGAAGCAGGCCCGGGGGGGGTGGCGATCGTAGTCGCGGACGTGTGCGATTCCGCGTCGCTGGCGGCGATGGCGCGGCGCTGCTGCGTGCTGATCAACTGCGTGGGGCCGTTCCGCTTCTACGGCGCGCCGGTGGTGGAGGCGTGCGTGGCGGCCGGCACGGACTACGTGGACGTGTGCGGAGAGCCGGAGTTCATGGAGCGCATGGCGTTCGCGCACCACTCCGCGGCGGTCAAGGCGGGCTGCCTCGTGGTGTCCGCGTGCGGGTTCGACTCCGTGCCCGCGGATCTCGGCGCGCAGTACACGGTGCGAGGATGTGTGGCGGGGTGGGGGAAGGGCGGGTGGGTGCAAAGGGGAGAGGGTGATGTCGGGATGGGGAAGGGAGAGGAGCAGGGGGTGGGGGAGGAGTGGGGCGAGTGGGGGGGGAGGAATTCGTGGTGGTGCTTTGTTGGTAGTTGCAACTTCAAGTCTCATGTAACGGATCCAGCAGCATACCTTCTTAATGCCATGCTTCACTGGGTTGCTTTCACTGGATTTATTCCACTCTCCACTCATCCTGGCCCCTCCCTTCCCATCGCGCCTTAAGCGTCGTCTGCTTTCTGCATCGTCTCCATTCGCCCACACGCCCCCTTCTGGCTCCACACCCCACCCAATCGTGTCCCCAGCTGGCGCTTGAAGCGAGCAGAGGCAGCGCCAGTGCTCACATTCTTTATTTCGAATCTTCCCAATCCATCCTCCCGTCCCTCTCCCCTGCCCTCCTCGTACTCCATCCCAGCATCCTATCATTCTCCAAGGCCCCCCACCTCCCCCCCCCCTCCCAAATTCTCTTCTTTTCATCCCCCCTCCCCCCTGCTCATCGACCCCGTCGCCGCGCCCTCCCCTTCCACAGCTGCGCCAGCTACCTCCAGAGCGAGCAGCAGCGGTGGCAGTGGACTCGTACCTGTCTGTATCAGCCCCCAGGGGACTCGCAGGCCACTATGCCACGTGGGAGTCCCTCGTGCATGGGCTGGCTTCTGCTGGGGAGCTCCGGTGAGATTGGGGGCTTTTGAGTTGAGTCGCCTCAAAACGGAGAGCTTTGGTGAGATTGGGGAACTTTGAGTCGTTTTGAAGGGGAGAGTTCCTCTCAGGTGAGGGGAAAAGGGTGGGTGTTTGTGGGGGTGTGTGTCTGGGGGTTGGTAAGTGGCTGGTCTTGGAATAGTGGCACCAGTCAGGCTGCTGCTGCTGCTGCTGCTGTTTGTATTGCTGCTTGAATGCTGCCTCCCTTGTCATGCGTCCTTCCTTAAAAACAGGGGCTTTCGCCTGTTACTGGTCTCCTCTCATGTGCCATATCAACATCACTAACGAAACCTCATCACTTTGTGGCCTGTGTAACCCCCCCCCCCCACCTCTCTCCCCCCCTTTTCCACCCAACCCACTACTCCCATCTTTCCCAACTACACAGGGCAATCCGCAGGGAAGCAGCTAAGTCAGCAGCAGGGGGGACGAGAAAACCCTCCTCTGGAAACAACAGCAGCAGCAGCAGCAGCAGTAAGGGCAAGCTACCGCCGTTGCTGCGAGCACCAGCAGAGCCAGAGGGTGGCGAGAAGGGCATATGGCCGCTGGTGCGGCGGTGGGTGCTGCCAGTGTGGCCGCGGTGGGTGGGCGGGCAGGTGAACGCGTGGGTGCTGCCCTTCATGGGCGCGGATGCCTCTGTTGTCCGCCGCTCCCTTGCCGCCTTCCAAGCCGCCGCTGCTGCACAGGCTACGGCAGGAGCAGGAGCAGGAGCAGGAGGGCAGGGAGATGTGGGAGCACCAGCGGGAGGAGAGGACGCGAGTGGGGGTCAAGGGGAGACTGACGCTCTGCTTGTGTCGCCATCGTCGCCACCACCTGAGTCTTCGGCTTCAGCAGCTCTCGCAGCAGCAGCAGGAGCAGCAGCGTCAGGAGCAGCAGTGAGCATAGTGCAAGGCACGGGGTTAGAGGCCCTCCCAGTGCCGTGCAACGCAGCAGCCATGGTGCATTACTCGGCCTACTTCACTGTCTCCTCCTCCTTCCACGTCTGCCTCTTCCTCGCCTTTGGCGCGCTTCTCAAGGCGCTCACGGCCGTGCCCTTTGGCATCAAGCTGCTGCTTAAGTACCCTAGCCTCTTCTCCTTCGGGGTCTTCTCACATGAAGGTGAGCTCTCAAGACATCGTTGGAGTCGACTTGAAACACCTTTGGCGCGCTGCTCAAGGCGCCCACAGCCGTGCCCTTTGGCATCAAGCTGCTGCTCAAGTACCCCAGTGTGTTCTCCTTTGGGGTCTTCTCGCATCAAGGTGAGCGTGCTTTTGCGGTGGTCTCTTACTTCTTCTATCCGTTCTTTGTGTCAGTCAGAGTGCCAGGAGCTGAGCTACTTGAGAATCGCTGGACGGAAGTAGACAAGCTACCAAACCACCTCTCAAACCAACGTATCAGGAAATGCTTTTGGAACAGAGATGTTGGAACCCAGAATCCATTTTTTGAGTCGACTCAAAAACAGAATCCAGGTGTGTTTTGAGTCGACTCAAAACACATGTTGGAACCCAGAATCCACCCACCTTCACATCAAGTCAAGCTACCAATCCACCTCGCAAAACCTCCACCCTGAATTCTCACCCTAAACGTCTTCTGCTGCTAACGTCTCGCGTGCCCAACCTTGTGTGTTTAAGTTCCGTGGGTGGCGTGTCGACGGCACTACCACCAATTGCCGGCACTACCGCTGCAGGTCCTTCGCCAGAGCAGCTAGCGTGCACGCGGTTCCGCATGCTGTTTGAGGCACGGGGGTTCTCCCAAGACACACTACATGCGTTTCAAGGGGGTGAGCAGCAGCAGCAGCAGCAGCGTGGTGGGCGTGGGAAGGGCGAGGGCAAGGGCAAGCGCATTCGGCCGATACCGGACTGCCATGTGTCGACTGTCGTCAGCGGCCCTGTAAGGAATTGACTTGCTCACGCTGCTCTCACACGCGCGCACGCTTGCACGCACACACGCCCCACATGCACATGCACGTGCACGTGCGCGTGCGCGCACGCGCACACACACACACACACACACACACACACACACACACACACACGCACACACGCATGCACGCGCACACACACACACACACACACACACACACACACACACACACACACACACATATGCACGCACGCCCACACGCGCGCGCGCCCTGCCACTCCCTCATCCCTCATCCCTGCCTCCTCTCTCCGCTCTCATCCAATCCACCTTCAGGAGATGGGTTATGTGGTAACCCCACGCATAGCAGTGCAGAGCGCCGTGTTTCTCCTGACGCGGTCACCTGCAACGCTGCCCACAGGCGGGGTGCTGCCCCCTGCTGCCGCCTTCCATGGGGGCGACCGCCTGTGGCCCGGCCTCGCTGCCAGAGGCCTGCTGTTCGAAACTCTCCGGTCTTCTGGCGTGTGATGTGACACGAGGAGGAGAGCAGGGGGGAGACAGGGAGGGGAAGGAAGAAGGGGGAAAGGGGGGTAGAGGAGAGGAGAGGAGAGGAAAGAGCTAGCAAGAAGGCAGAGGGGAGAGGAGGAGAGATCAGAGGAAAGGGGAGTGGAGGAGTGGAGAGCAGAGTGGTGATTCGAAGCCTTAGCGGTTCATGTGCATGCTTGGAAGAGCAAGTGCACATTTGTATGTGTATGTGTACATTTGATCAGACCGTCTTGTACATGCTGCTGGGAGTTTCATTGCGCAGTCCAGAGTGTTGCCACAAGTGCAGCGGGTTGTTTACTAGTAGTTGTGTATAAAATAACTGCATCTCTTGCTGCTTATTGAGTCTGGGAGTGTGACGTGCAAGACTGTACATTAAAAGATTGAGGTACAGTGCAGCAAGCAAATATAAAAAGGTTTTCGCTCAGATTCAACTTGTAGCTGTGGACAGTGGAATGGGACCATCATCTAGCAGCCTTTTATGGAGGAGCTGCCTACCTACAGTAACACCTTACAGCATGCATTTATTGGATAGTTTCTCGCACGGACCAACTACCGTGACCAGGTGTGCATGAGCTTAGTGACATTGCCCTGACAGTCACTCTACCTACCAACAGGAAGAGGAAAGAGAGAAACCACAAAAAGTAACCCCAGTAGGGGCTGAAGAAGAAGAAAACCCCGTTACGTGTACACGCACACACACACACAACACTGTCCCAGCAGTCTTATTGCCCCGGAGCAGCAGCAGTGCCGTTCTGCAGGGCGGCGGCAGTGGCCCCCGCGCCCGGGCCAAAGGAGCGCGAGAGCACATAGCAATCCGGGGGTTGCAGGCGGCGGTAGTAGTTCTTAATGGTGTCCGTTATAGCGAAGCCAAAGCGGGAATAGAACGCAATGGCGTCCTCGTTGTTGGTCTGCACGTGCAGGTACACCTCTCGCACGCCTGACCCCTCGGCTTCGCACTGGCTCAGCACGTGCTGCAGCAGCAACGAGCCTGGTTAGGCGTGTGCGTGGGTGGAGCAACAGCAGCAGCAGGCAGGAAATGCAGGGGCGCGCAGGGGAGAAGCGGGGGATGAGGGAAGGGTGGGGGGGAGGGGAACAGGGGAGGGGAACAGGGGAGGGGGGGGGAGTGGGGGAGGGGGGAGGAAAGGGGGAAGAAGGGAGAGGAAGTTTAGAAGAGAGGTTTATGGGACAGGTGGGAATGGAAGAGGTTATGGGTCAAGACGAACAGAGGGAGTGAGGGAAAGAAAATCCGACTTGTAGATGGTATGTGATGTGATACTGTCAGCGGCAAAGCCAGCAGCAGTGTTGCACCCATTTTTTCCCCCCCGACCCGCCCTCCCCATTTCCCCTTGTTTCGTATCCCTCTCGCCAAACACTCCGACACCAGCCTTTCCTTACCCCACCCCACCCCACCCCACCCTCCCCCACCCTCACCCTCACCCCCACCCCCACCCCCACCCCATTTCCCGGCTAGTAAGAAGAAAAGAACGCAGCGCGCACCGATGCCGAGGCGGCGGTAGGGCGCGAGCACGCCGAGAGTCATGATGTACACCTTCACGCCGCCGCCGCTGCCCACCTCGCGCTCTAGCCGACACGCCACCGCGCCCACGTGCACGTCGCTGTAGAACGCTGGGGGAGCGAGGAGCGGGGGAAATGGGGGGCAGAGGGAGAAAGTGGGGGCGGAAAACGAGGAGAGGGAGGGGGGGGGGAACGACGGAGGGGAAGAGAGAGGGGGGGGGGGGGGGGGGGGGGGGGGGAGGGGGGGGACGGTTGAAGGGAGAGATGCGGAGTGGCTGAGGGGTGGGAGAGAGGACGGGCAAGGGTTTCGGGTTGCGCAGAAGGGGCTTTGGAAGGAGAGAGGAAGAAAGGACGACGTGAAACGAAATGCGGGCGGGCTTTGGGGTAATATGGGGAGTTGTTTTGTTGACACGGGGAGACGAAGAGCGGAGACCGCGGAAAACGAATGGGACCAATGGGGAAGGGCGAAGTGTCAGAAACGAAATACGCGCTTGCAGGAAACCATGGAAAATGAGAGCATGCCTAATTTGGTGTATTCGCCAGCAGCCATGGCGTCGCTGTAGTATTTCTCCTGGTACTTGACGGGAAACATCGCCGCGTTCAGCTTTCGTAGCTGCCCCACGTTCTTGTCGCGCACGCCGTCCAGCGACACGTGCGACCCATCCTTCGCCTTTGAGACGGTCGCCAAAGCCGCCGCCATAACGCCCACAGCAATGACCCCTCTTTCTCTTTCGCTCTCGTACGGGAAATGGAACGCCTGCTCGTTGTACCCTCGTTAAACCCCCTCAGCGGTCACACGGCTCGTGACGAATCTATCAGCAGCGCGGCTCTTTCGAACGGCGAGTTATTGACCGGCTGGAACGGCACTCGTTGAGACGAATCGCAGAGGCGGATCCGCGGGTGAAGAGATAGGATAGAACCTATGAATCAGAAGAGTACTCGCCTATTATTCTCAGCGTGAAAATCACTGTGCTCAGAAACAGCAACTATAAGGCGGCTAGCCCGCACGGCACGCAGAGAAGATCTGCATATGCAAAGGCGGACCGGGGAAGAGGATAAGATCGGCCTGATCTAATACTCCAGAAGCGGCGCGTGTGTCACCCGCTCGCTGCCATAGAATATCCCGCTGCTGATGCAGCGTCTGTAAATGGTGGTGAATGACAAATCTCCTCTCGCGATCTCAGACTGTTCCTTCCCCACTGAGCCTTTTAATGGGTTTGCGGCCTGTCAGAGGAGTGCCACGAATCGATCGATGAGCGGAGTTGACTGCCAGCGCACGTGTTGCGACGAATGGAGAGGAAACACAGAACTTAAGGCAAGGACCGTGAGTCGTCAGTCAGAGACCCAGAGAGACGAGACAAGTGCGGTTTGGGCGAAACACGGAAGGTTCCTCCATGTCACCATTTTCTATTTGAATACAACTGGTATATGCAAAAACCAAATTAGGGCGACGTTAATTCGAATGAGTTAGCATTATGTATATATGTATACAAACACATTAAAATGTCATGGATGCAAGAACCTAGAAACGTCGTCAGAACCGTCCGAGTCAAAGTACCAATTCCCTATAGCTTTCCTCACAGTTATGCCATTTACCGAAACCTTCGACCAAGACGAGTACACAGTGCTGCAATGAGCCACAGTATCCAACAGATATGCACCAACCCTTGGCTCTTTCTTCACAAGTGCCTTCACCTCATTGTACATAGTCCCGGCAACAGTCACCACAGCCTTCTGCTCGTTTTCTGTGCACGGGCTGTTCTCCTTGAATTCCATCGTTGTCCATGAGTTGTTCCGGATGGATTCAGTGAGGGATGGCATGTCGACGGTTATGTCGTGCAGGCACCGTGCGATGCTGGACGTCTTGTTGGGCAGCTGGTTGCCGATGCTCAGAGCAGCGTAGTCAAAGAGGGGGTTCACCACATATACGGTGGAGGCGATGTAACCGAGAGCGTATTGAGGGAAGAAACACCGCCATTTCTCCTCGTCCTCGTGGGCTGCAAGCAAAAAGAGGTGGATGGAGAGCAGGTGGGGGGTAAGGAGACAGGTAGGCGAGAAGCAGGGAAAATTGCCCGCATGGGTTGCTTATTAGAGTGGTGGTCATTTGCTGCAACAGTAAGGCTAGTAGGAAAAGCTAGTGCATTGAGGAGAATGGGGATGTAAAAAAAGAAAGAAAAGAACTTGGAAGAAAGGAGAAGGGTACCTCTACCGCAGCGGGCGTTTCCAGTGGCCTGGTGTAGTGATGTAACACGTTTGACTAAGGAGCGGAAGCGGAGGTTATCATTCCTGTCCCTTGCGTCTGAAACGGACGCAGCATCCCACAGATATGCATGACGAAGGAAAGGCAATCATAGTCTTTTAGCAGCACTAAAACCAGAGCACATTATCCCGCAAACAGCTGGACATTAGGTCTATCAATAAAAGTCAGAAGAGATGGGGAAGGGGCGTACCGAGAAAGAAACCTCCATCCATGAGGCACTTGACAGTGGCAGACGGCAGCAGCGTCTCAACTTGATCGCACAGCATCACCACCGCCTGCCCCCCTGCTGAGCACCCTGACAGCAGCACCTGCGTCGCGGAATTGAGGCCCCTTTGGTCCATCAGGTCTGCATCAGGGGTTGTAAGAGTGGCATGATGAGGAGTTTAATTGTTCGTGCTTGTGTTCAATTGTGTGAGTTTATTTGTGTCTATGAGGGAGATGATTACGAGAGGGAGGAAAGGAGTGGAGGGAGAGAGGGAGGGAAGGAGGGAGGAGAGAGGGAGGGAGGGAGGAGAGAGAGAGGGAGGGAGGAGAGAGGGAGGGAGGGAGGAGAGAGGGAGGGAGGGAGGAGAGAGAGAGAGAGAGAGAGAGAGAGAGAGAGAGAGAGAGAGAGAGAGAGAGAGAGAGAGAGAGAGAGAGAGAGAGAGAGAGAGAGAGAGAGAGAGGTAGCATCTATACCTTGCATGTTTGTACCTTCCCAACCTATCAATACACGGACCGTTAGAGAGAGAGAGAGAGAGAGAGAGAGAGAGAGAGAGAGAGAGAGAGAGAGAGAGAGAGAGAGAGAGAGAGAGAGAGAGAGAGAGAGAGCAAGAGTGCGCGAGAGACAGAGACCACACACCGGAGAGCACGGCCTTCATGATGCGCCAGCCGTCCATGAAGATGGCCGTGCTGTCGTTCACCTTCTTCCACCCCGCGCGCCCAGCATACCCGCCCCCGTCGCAGTAGAGCGGCACCACCAGGTTCCAGTCGTAGAAGTTGGGGTTGCGCCGCCGCACTGGGCTCAGAATGCCCTTGAACAGCACCGCCAGGCGCCGCGCGCTCTGATGCGGAGGGAGGGGGAGGGGGAGGGAGAGGGGGAGAGGAAGGGGAAGGGATTTTTGAGACGTCTCATAGGCACTCGGGGCTCAGGATGCCCTTGAAACAGCACTGCCAGGTGCCGCGCGCTCTGACGGAACGTGGGGGAGAGAGGCGGGAAGACAGTGAATGCGGGATAGGATGGGGTGTGAGGAGGAAGAGGAGAAGGATACGAGAGGAACGACGAGAGGGAGCGAGATTGGGGGTAAGTACCGACACGGTAGTCAAAAGGGCAGCGCAAGGATTAAAAGGGAGGTGGAGGGTTGAGGTCCAGAGGCAACCGAGGTCAGATGATGTTGGAGATGCATAGGGAAGAACCGTAAAGAAGCGAGGGAGACAGCAGAAAGAGTCGAAGCGCCATCGAAGACAAGGGCGGACTGTGGGTGGGGGGAAAGCACCTTGCGGCGGGGCGTCCAGGGCCGCGTGGACCCCATCGCGGTGGTGGCGCGCGCAGCGCAGTCCTCCGCTGTGGCGCACCAACCCCCGCCTGGCAAAAAAATGTGCCATGCCTCCTTCCCCGCGCCGCTGCCGCGCCGGAGAAAGTATCCCGGAGGACTGGCTCATGGGGAAAGAGAAGAGGCGGAGCGGAGAGTGGAGCAGGTAGTGGTGAAGACCATGTAGGTCGCAAGTACTGATTTTTAGCTGTTTTCTACGTATAGAATGGTCAATTGGGACTACAGCGCAGCAATCGAAGGTCACTACGTTCTCGACATCGGCACGCGCGCCCCTTGAGGCGCTGTCAAGTTGATGCACCGCCGGCTTACCTGCCGTCCAGACACTTGGCGCCATATGTATTGTCGGCGAGCACGTGCAGTGTGAGGTTCTTGCCCTGGGGCATGGCCCACTCGCGCACCGTGTCGTCCGCCGTGTCGTCAGGTGATTCGGACCGCTTTGCCGCATCAGACGCCGCACATGGCGCCGACACAAACCCCAAGAGGCTCACGAGCCCGCTCACGAGGAGAAGCCTCCAGACGACACGTGGCACCGTGGCCGCATGCCGGTGCTCTTGACTACTCCGAGTCCCGTGTGTTCTAGACAATCTAGCCGTATCCTTTCTAGAAGAACTGCTACCAGCACTGCAACTAAAGCGTGACGTAATGTGTACGCTAGGTAGCACGAGGGGAGAAACTGTGTGAGGGTGTGGGAGATCTCCCGCACCGTGCGGAACCACTCCATAACGAGCTGCATGGTCGCCGCGGCGATGGCGGCAATATCGGCGATGGCGGAAGGGCGTGGCTACGCCTGGAGCCATTGCTCGAATGGGCTCAGGCGGACCAGCCCATTCGCAGGGAAGCGTGCTTTCGAAAAAGTGAGACGAGCCGAGAGTGAAAGCGAAAGCAAGTGACGCGCCGCTGCTCGCGGTGAGCTGCTAGAACTGCTAGTCCTGCTAATGCTGCTCGTGCTGCTCGTGCTGCTCGTGCTGCTTGTGATGCTCGTCCGCTCTCAGCCTCGGTTACTATCGCCCAAAAAGGCAAAAAAAAGAAAGAAAACTTCGAGATCCTAATTGGCGCGAGAGGAATGTGTTGTCACTCTCACTCTCGTGGAAACTCGTCCCGTCACGTGAAGAGCCTGCTCCTAATGGGGCGAGAGATGGAATAAGGGAAAGAGGATAGGAGAATGAGAGATGCAGGTTTCCTCTCATGGAAAAGGTGAGTGGACGTTGTGAGAGCAAGGGCAGACTATCGAGTTATTCGCGCCGGCAGGTGTGCCACTACTGCTCGGATTGAAGGGAGTGCGCTGGAGAGAGATAGGCATTCATTCTGTGTGTGGCACGTGTAGTCGTCTTGACGGTGCAGTTCACTTGCTGGCGCAGGCTGGGATGGGGGGAGCACTGGAGTGGGTCTTGTTGAAGCTGTTGCTTGTTGGGTGATGGCGAGTGTTTTTTCAACAATGTAGTTGGGAAATTGTGATGGCTGCGCTGCGTGCAAAGCAAAGGAAATTTGAAATTGCGAGTCGCGGACACAAATTTGGCGCGAATGTACACACGGACCAGTGCATAAAAACGGCATGCTGCTTTCGACCGAGAGAAAATGACGCGTTATGAAGTAACGCATGTCTTATCAGGGAATGTGACGACTGTACATGGAGCAATTCCTTAAGTCGGGGCACCCAATCAAAGTGTTGGAGGAACATGGTTTGGAGATAAATCTGATCTTACACACAGATCACACAAACAACAAACCATAATGATTATTATTCAACTTAAATAGAGCATCTACCATCTCTATTCTTGGCGGGGTCCGGTAAGCAAATCTTTGCCCCCCTTCTCAGTCTATCTAGGCAATCATAGCCGTTGATCTTCTTGTAACAGCTCTTTATGCCCTTGAAAAACCTGAACTGAATGGCACTGCACCTGTCATTATCTGTTGCAAGGTACAACTCGGACCGTGGACATGAGCCCATTGTCATGCCCGCTCTGAGGCGCACACAAACCTGCAACAGCAACAAGAGTCCAACCAGGGGAGAATCATGTTGGGAGGGACAGCGAACTAGCCAAGCCTGAGCGATGCGATACATGCTGGAATACCGTACATGCGAACCTACAGACCTCTCACCCCACCACACCACACCTCACACCCCACCCCACCACACCTCCCACCACCCCGCCGTACCTCGGAGCCGGGGAAGCCCGAGTCCTTGGAGGGCGGCAGCAGGCGGTGGCAGTAGATGCCGGGGTTCATGCGGTAGAGCTCCAGCGCACTCGGTGGAAACTTCACCTTCGCCAGCAACGATGCACACGTCACGCTCCTCGCGCCCTGAACCCTCACAGTCTCCCTGCATAGAGGCACCATTGGCGTGGATCGCTTCACACAGATGGAGAGACCGGTGGGCAGCGGGTAGTTGCTGCTGCTGCTGCTGCAATCAAGGCCCGGGTTGAGGCTCAGGAGGTCGGTGGTGCAGGGCTGGGAGGGGTCCAAGCAGGAGGCGGTGAGAGAGAAATTGGCGGCTATGGACTCACACGTGTCGTTCTGGTGGGGTTTGTGTAGGGAGGTGGGGATGGGGGAGGGTGGGGAGTGGAAGGGGCGGGTTGGGGACTGAGGGAGGAGTTGGGAGTGAGGGAAGGTCTGAGGCTACTGGGAATCGGTTGCACAGGGCAGAGATGCGAGGGGAGAAAAGAGGGATGTAAGAAGGAAGAGGGAAGAGGTGGAGAGGAGGGCGGACAGGGCATGTGGATGTGACCAGCACAGCACAGTGGTGTGGACAGTGGTGTGCACAGTGGTGTGGAAGACCTGATAATCGACTTGAACCCCAGAAAGCGCTGCTTACCTGCACAGTGGTGTGGAAGACCTTACAGTCCGCTTAAAGCCCAACAGGCGCTGCCCACCTGCACAGTGGTGTAGAAGACGGAGCAGGGCTGATAGTCGGCGCTCAGGCTCAGTTTGACCACGGCGCCTAAAGGCAGGGGCTTGTCACACGCCAACTTCTGCACTCCGTGGTGGGGGGGAAGGGATAGTGTAGTCGTTGCAAGGCAAGGCAGCGGCTGGCAGCGGCTGCGCCTCTGAAGAACCCGCGTTTTATGGCCCGGTGCTTTAGCGGGGCGTTGTATGTACACACACAGGGTGAATGCATGCGTGCCACACGGTTTCCGGATCACGACCATACAAAAGCCATGCTATGCCATGCAATGTCAGCCCATGCAATGCTGTGGCGTGGAATGCTGTGCCATGCAAGCCCATGTCATGCCAGGTCATGCAGGTCACGTACAGCTTCTGCACGTTGCCATTCTTGTCGCACGTCACTCCCGCCATCCGCGCGCACTCTCTGCCCCTCTGCCACGTGGCACTCCCCGGAAACGCGCCCCACTCCGCCTTGAGATCCTCCAGCACCGCCACTGCGCGCCAATTCAAGCGGCGGGAGTCCCGCGGACGGGGGAAAGTGGTTGAGGGGGAAGGAGAAGGGGGGCGGGACGGAAGGGGGCATTCGAGGATTGTCCGGCAAAGGGAAATGCTGAAATGCCGACGAGGAAAGGAGGGGAGTGGGCGGAACGCGGTGGGGGGACCGCGCAAGGAAAGCCAGCATTAAGGAGTTGAAGGGTGAGGCGGAAGGGGAGGGGGGTGGGGAGGATGCAAAGGAATGAAGTACTAGCGCTGGGTGGAGATGTACGGTGGAGCTATAGCACTGATAGTGACAGTAGTAGTAGCTTATGATCTGCGCGGAGGCAAACAACGAATAAGCCGACCGACGACGCTTATTACTAGTAGTTCCGCGCGGACTCCGCCAATGGTGGTTCTGCGGATATTGGCTCCGCGTAAAGTAACTCCGCACCGCGGCGGTCGCTAGTATTCTCCCTTCACGAGCGCCTCCCCCTCCTCCGCGTCCCTCCCCGCCGAGTACTCCGCCTCCGCCTCCGCCTCCGCCTCCGTTGTCCGCCGTGGTTTCCCCCGGTGGCGGAAGCTCCGCCATCATGGCGTGCAGCAGCGCAATAGCGACGGCTGCGCGCACGACTTCGAGCGCGACGCGGCGCGGGTCCACTCCCATGCCGCGGCGCATCCAATGGGATGAACGCAGTTTCAACGGCACGGCTTCAAACGGGACGGGACGAAACGGGTTGGGACGAGACGGGACGGTAAGACGGATGGCGGAAGGCGGCGGTGCCGCTGTAACGCCTGCGGGGCTCACACGTCAGGGTTGAGTGTCTCCGATGCGCCTCAAATATAACCCCCGTTTTGACCCAGTGCGTAGCGAGGTTTATAGCCGCCTTACGGTAAGGCGGCTGGCGCCGGAAGGCAGCGATACGGCGGATGGCGCAAGACGGATGCCCGCATAGGCGGGGAGCGGCAAGGGGGGGCAGAAAAGGCGGCGCGAGGAACGGCGAAGGAGGGTGGCTCTGCCCCAGGCCGATCGTGTCGTTAGACGCAGAGGGGGAGCGCATCCAACGTTGTAGGCGCTTTTTCATAACTTTGAAATAACTCTTATCCAACATTAGCAGTTTGTGCGAGGCGGGGTTTCGCGGCGTTTGGTAGTCCTCCCCCGCAAGACTCCGCGCAGATGAAGGCATGGATGACATTACACGACACGAGAAGTGAATTCTTGCAACGCGCAGCGGAAACCAGATCCGTGGCTGTCAGGTGCAGCGAGGCGACGGCCGGCGGAAGCACTTCGAGGTTGCAGCGGGAACCACGTGGGGTGGGGTGGGGGGCAGGGAAGGTGCCACTCTTCCACATTCTGGCGTGGTGTGCAAACGGTGCTCTTTTCAAGAACACCAAGTAGGCGGGTGGCACGTACGTGACAAGAGTTTTGAATATTTCGCCACATTGGCCCTAGTCGCCACGGGCAAAAATGTGACTGTAAATATGAAATAGGAATGACAATCGAGACTAGGGTTTTAAGTTCGTAACCAGTCATTTCTGATGACGGGCAATCGTTGCTGTTTACGCTTGTAGATGTTTTCTTCTGCAACTTGGTGACTGTACCACATGCTCAATTCAGTCACTCACGGGTAAAAAGTTCGCGAGTGACTGTTTGGACACAGGATAAGCCGAGCATCGATTGCACTGTACAGTATCCTTCCACTCCCCTACCCTACCCTACAGTAAATTACTGTAGCACCTTCTCGGAACTTTGGCTTTTGTGTGCAGCTGGAAAGGTGGTTTGGTTCGGAAACCCCCATTCCCCCCTCCCAGCCACCTCCCCTTTTCACCTCCCTCCCTCCCCCCTCCCCTACCCCCAGCAGAGCCCCTCTGAGGGTGCGTTCCTGGTTCGTGGCAGGGCCACTGTAGCAGGCACTGTTGGTGGCATGCGGGAAAACCGCATGCCACCAACATTTTGCCCGAGTCGCGCGCGACACGATTTTGGTGGAATTGACATGACATTTTTGGGACATTGCCCAATCACGCACCTGTATTTGCGCGCCAAAATTCCTGACACCAACCTGGCGTTTTATGTGTTCGTGGCAGGCTGCCATCTACAGTGGCCCTGCCACGAACCAAGAACGCACCCTGAGCCATCCCCTCTCTGTGCACGTGTGGAGAAGAGGGTTTGCTCCGTGTGTACACCTGATGCGCGTTATAGTCCCCCGTCGTTCCCTTGTCCTCTGGGCTTATAACCGATCTGCGCTTTTCGCATGGTTCGTCAACATCGCCTGGGCCGTCGGGTGCTTTTAAAAAGCACAGGCGGTAACATGTTTGTTTTTTCCATGTATAGTGTTGGGCGGCGTCCTTTGTTGCGAGCTAATGCACTGGGTTACCACTTTTATCGAGACCAGACTATCACATGCAATTACAATTCACCTCTCCCTTCATCACAAACATCAGTGAACGAATGGGATAGCCACAACTGTCTCTGCCGCGACAAACAACCCCCCCCCCCCCCCCCCCCTTCCCCGGCCCTGCTATGTAATGCAGTCACCGTTTACCACATGTGTGCATGAGTCGTGCACACTTGTGCAAATGCTGAAATTTGCACAATGCAGAGTGAATTTCACAGCCTCATCCACTCTGCCGCAGCGAGATATCCGCTCATCACGGCGGGAGCGCCAGCGTCGATAAGCTCCTGCCGGCGAGCAGATTGGGCAACCCAGTCAGGGGTCGGCACCGTCATCCATGCCGGCAGAAGGCGACCGCGGCGACGTGGAGTCTCTGCCGGCGGGGTGTCCTCGTGTGTCGGCGCTGGCGGCGGAGTAGCGTTAAGGTTAAGTGCCTGGCTTGCGCGCTCCATCCGCGCGATGATCATGGGGTTGCGGATGTCAAACAGCGCGCACAAATCCCTCGGCGTGATGCACGTCGCACGCGCGTACCCAATGAGCATCTCGCAGGCGGCGCGTGCAGTGCGACGAGCTTCGCGCGTCGTAGGGTTGTTATCGTCGTACACCGCTTGCATCGCCGCCGGCGCCTCCCACATATGCGCCGTCTGCGCCGACGCCGGCTCCCGCGCTAGGGGGTCCTCGCCCGGCTCGGCGCACGTCGGCTGGTTGTCATCAATTCCGACGAACTCTGCCGCAGGCAGCGCGGACGGCCCGAGGCCGAGACGATCGATTAAGACGCCTACGTCGTTCAACTCCTCGTCCAGGCCAATGTCACCCCCAGCCTGGACTTGTGGGTCGCCGCTCTGTTCCACGTGCGGGAGTTCCATCGCCCACGCCCGCGGTAGGCACTCGGTGCGCCACCAGCAGCGCTGGATAGTGACGTGCGGGATATTCATCCACGCGTCATGGAGCCATTCCAGCACGCGACGGAGGTTCGGCTTGAACCTTGCCGCCGCGGAAGTCGCGCCGTCAGCAGTCCACATGCCGGTGAAGGCGCGGAGCCAGTGCTAGCGGTACCGCGCCTTCGTCATGGCGATCATCCCCTGGTCGAGTGGCTGCGTGAAGCAGGTGGTGTTCGGCGGCAGGTAGACGAGGCGCACGTTACTGAGCTTTCGCGTGCGGAACCCGAAGAGGTCCTCGGTTTCTGCGCCCTCGGTTGTCAGGGTGTGACTGCTCGCGTTGTCGAGCAGCACGACGACTTGGCGGCCCTCTGCGTACATGGCGGTGTCCAGCTGCTCAAAAAAGTGCGTGAAGAGCTGCAACACAAAGGGGTGTAGGCGAAGTTGGGGTAGGTTAGGAGGCTTTGTCATGATAAAAAACATAGCCGACATCGGGTACATGTAATAACGAGGCTTTTAAAAAGCACAGGCTGTAACATTTTTGTTTTTCAAAATTTTGTTATGGGGATTTATCATGATCACAAACATAGGCAACATCGGGTACGATAATAACGAGGCTTTTAGAAATTGTAAAAACAAACTCACGGCTTTGGTCATCCACCCCTTAGCGGTGTTGCGCCAGTAGCAATACTCCTCGGGGTCGAAGTCCGGCCTGAAATCATGTGGCCGCTTAGCCTTGGAGATGACAAGCGGACGGAATGCGTGCGTCCCGTCCGCATTAACCAAGAAGCCGACGGTAAGGCGGTCCTTCGGAACCTTCTGTGAAAGATAAGAAAACAGGAATGAAATGACTAAGGAAAGATTGGGTACAAATACAACCCTGGAAACCCTGTACCCCATATGTGCTACCCCACTATAGCCTACAGCAACTATGTCATATAAATCTGACACACCCCCATAGGCAAAGTGGGGGAGAACAAGGGGTCACAAGACCAGTCAAGCAAAGCAAAGCAAGCTCAGGGTGGATCACAAAGTCACCACACAGTCCGAGCACAAGAGTAAGGCCAGAGGCCAGTTCACATGCAGGAGTACAGACATATATACAAAACTAGACAAGCAAGAGCAGGTATATATATATGTCACAGTACAAGTGAAGTCAAGAGGAGAGCAAGTGAGGCAAGACAGGCACAAGACCCAGCTGGGTGCAAAAGCGCTGATGGTCACAAGGCGCGAGTGCCTTGGTGAACACATCAGCAGTGTTGGCCTCAGAGGCCACGTACGCAAGTCGCAACTGACCACGCTGCTGCAGCTCACGAGCAAGGAAGTAGCGGAGAGCAATGTGCTTCGTTCTGTGCTCCAAGCGCTGCTCTCGACACAAGGCCAGCATGGCCTTGTTGTCTACGTACAGCACTGGAGGAGAACGAGGAGGCTCTCCAAGGTCAGTCAGCAGGTAGGTGAGCCAGCGAAGCTCCTGTGCAGCCATGGCCCCGGCGTAGATCTCGGCCTCACAACTGGAGCCGAGAACCGAAGACGAGCGAGTAGACCGCCACGAGACAGAGCCGGAACCAAGGCTGAAGGTGTAACCCTGTGACGACCGCTGCGTAGCCTGGTCGTCAGCCCAAGAAGCGTCCGCGTGGCCGGTAAGGACCACTGGACTCCGCCCTCCAAGCACTAGCCCCATGCCCGACGTACTGCACAGGTAGCGCAATACCCTCTTCGCTGCAGCCATGTGCTCTGGTCTGTGTCTCCCAGGAGCAACATAGCGTGCAAGAATGCTCAGAGGGTATGCAAGGTCAGGTCGTGTGCAGGTCATCAGGTACATGAGGCAGCCAACAAGCTCTGCATACGGACCACTCGACTCTACGGACTCATCCGAAGGCAGAGATGAGAGTGAGTGGCGAGTAGGCAGAGGAGTGGCCTGAGGCGAGGAGTACGTGAAGCCGAAGCGCTGAAGGACCTGCTGCACCATGTGTGACTGAGTCAAGGTAATGGTGCGGCGTGCTCTGTCCCGAGTGATCTGCAAGCCAAGGTAGCTGCGCAGTTCACCCAGGTCTGTGCACGTGTGTCTCTTCAGCAGCTCGGACTTCACGTAGGCGAGTCCAGCAGTGTCCGCTGTGGCAAAGACCAAGTCGTCGACGTACACGAGGATGTAGAACGGCGGCAGGGAAGTGTCGGTGCGAAGAAACAGCGACGGGTCAGCAGTAGAAGGAGCAAACCCAAGAGCCGCAAGCGTAGTCCTCAGTGTGTCGTGCCACTCACGCGGTGCCTGGCGGAGACCGTAGACTGGCCGTCGGAGGCTCCACTGGGTGCCAGGAGGGAAAGTCCCAGTGAAGCCAGGTGGACGGCGAAGCCAGATCTCCTCGTGCAGGCTACCCTGCAAGAACGCAGTGCTGAAGTCGAGAGAGTGAAGCTCGTAGTCGCGCTGAGCGGCTATGTGCAGCAGCACCCGAAGAGTAGTCATCTTCGGGGTGGGAGAGAAGGTCTGAAAGTAGTCAACTCCCTGCCGCTGACTGAAGCCACGAGCAACGTACCGTGCCTTGAAGACAGGTGGAGAGCCCGGCGGCCGCTTCACCCTGAAGATCCACATGCCACTGACGATGTTCGCCCCATGGGGGGGAACCGCGTCAACGTAGGTGCCTGTGGACTTCCAGGAAGCCATCTCTGCATCCATAGCTGCCTGCCACTGAGAGGAGTAGGGACCCTCTACGGCCTCCGCGTAAGAACGCGGAGTCGGGATGTCTAGTGCATCCGGGTCTCCCTCAGGGGCAAGCAGTACAGACGCGAGATGAGGTGAAGCAGCCGCTAGACACTGTAACTCCTCCTGCCTGTCCTCTAGGACGTCCGTGCCAAGAGCACACTCACCCCCGACGGACGGAGGACAGACAGACGCAGACTCAGCAACAAGACTAGCAGCGTAGTCGAGACGACAGCGGGCAGCAAAGTCGACGAGCTCAGCGACTAGAGCAGACGCAGCAGTGGACTCAAAAGAGGGGTCAGTGACGACAGTAGCAAGCAGACGCGTGACAGTAGGACTGGCAGCACGAAGAGAGTCCGACTCAGGGTCCGCAAGCGCAGGAAGAGAGGACTCAGGAGGAGAAGGCAAAGGGGCACGCAGAGGAGCAGTGGACGGACGCAAAGACATCCGGTGCGTGCCAGGGACAGGAGGAGGACGCTGACGCGAACTGCGACCACTAGCGCGAGCAGCACGAACAGGCGACGCGGGACGAGACGCAGGCTCACGACGCTCAGCAAGACCTCCAGTAGGACCAGTGTAAGGAGAGGGAGCAGGCAGTGGAGAGGAAGGCTCCAGCAGGGACTGCGACTGGACAGGCGGTGGACCCTCTACCGGAGGAGAAAGACCAAGAACCTGCTGCAGGAGCGGAACGAAGTACGGCCGAGGCCGCGCGGCAGCTCCAGACTCAGCAGGGACAGCACCAGCACCCTCAGCGACAGCACCAACGCCACCCACACCTCCAGCGGCAGGACCAACAGCAGTAGGCTCAGCACCAACGCCCTCAGCAGCTCCAGCGCCAGGAGGACCCGCAGGTCCAGCAGCTCCGGGACCGGCAGCACCCGCACCCTCGACGGTCGAAGAAGCTCCAGCTCCAGCTCCAGCAGCACCTCCAGACTCAGCAGCACGCCTCCAGCGGCGAGCGAACCACTCGCGCAGCTCCTGTGGAGAGAGGGGCTCCCGGCGAGACGCAGCAGCAGGAGAAACCCCAGGCTCAGCAGCTCCAGACGCAGCACCCCCAGGCTCAGCAGCTCCTTGCTCAGCACCCCCAGGCTCAGCAGCTCCCGACCCAGCACCCCCACACCCAGCACCTCCAGGCACAGCACCCCCCGGCTCAGCACCCCCAGGCTCCGCACCCTCCGCAGTAGCACCCTCAGGCCCAGCACCCCCAGTAGTAGCACCCCCAGGCTCAGCACCCCCGCGCACAGCACCCCCAGAGTCAGCACCCCCAGGCTCAGCACCCGCAGCAGCACCAGAGTCACCAGTAACCTCGACCGGGTCAACGGCGTCTACCTGGGACACACCTGAGGGGGCAGGAACCTGAGGGGGGAGGGGGTCTACCGGGGGGGGAACCGGCACAAGGAAGTCCGGGGGAGGGGGGAGGGAAGGAGTGCGGTAGGGGAAGAGACGGTAGAAGGGGACTGACTCGTCGAACGTGACGTCCTGGGAGGACAGAACACGACGAGAGGAGGGGTGGTAAAACTGCCACCCTGGGGCGTCAGTGGGGAAGCCAAGGAAGACACAGGGAGCAGCACGAGGGGACAGCTTGTCCGCAGACAAGTCGCGGACAAACGCCCGAGATCCCCAGACACGGAACACAGACGCATCGCCAACCTTCCCCGTCCACAGCAAGGCTGGGGACATCGCAGGCCGAGAGACCCGGGGGTGAAGGTTGAGCTGATGCGCCGCGTACCTCACCGCAAACGGCCACAGAAAATGGGGGGCAGCCGCATGCATCATGGACGTACGAGCGACATCCATGACCATGCCAATGCGGTGCTCAGCAATCCCATTTTGCTGTGGTGAGTCCGGAAGCGTGAAGGTCTGGCAGATCCCCCGTGCACGACAGTAGTCTCGCAGAAGGCGAGAAGAGAACTCTCCGCCTCTGTCCGAGTGCAGACGCAGAACAGGAAAGTCCGAGCCGAAGCTCTTCCTGAGCTGGAGACGAGCCTCGCGGATCCAGTCGATCAGCACCTCAGTGACCGCACCCTTGCTGCACAAGGGGAGGACTGTGGTGTAACGCGAGTAGTCGTCAACCACCAACAGGAAGTAGCGCTCGTGACCCTGCCCACGGACGGGGGCTGGGCCCCACACATCCATGTGAAGCGTCTGCAGGGGAGCCTCTGTCGGGGGGAAGTGGGAGGAGTGAGGAGTAGCCCGGAGGCGACCCTCGACACAGGGGACACAGGAAGGTCCTGGCCCGGAGGGGAGAGGAGGGAGAGACTGGGGAAGACCAGAGACAAGGACACGGGAAGCCATGCTCCGAAGACGGGGCAAGGAGGGGTGGCCAAGACGGTGGTGCCACAGGAGAGTCTCGTGAGACAGGAGGCGACAAGAACAGGGGGCAGACTCAGGACCTGACCGGGACGCAGCAGCAAGCACCTGACCTGACGCAGCCACCTGACCAGACGCAGGGACAGGAGGAGACTCAACGGTCAGGGTGTAGAGACTCGACCCCGGCCGCCGCGAGAACGTGGCCAGGTGTCGGCCTGTGCGTGCCTCCGTGCAGTGGGTCACCCGCTGACTCGCAGGAGTGAACTGGTGAACCCCCACATCCTGTAGGTCCGCGCCACTCACCAAGTTCGTAGAGAACGAGGGAAGGTACAGACCAGACAGGGTGCCCGAAGGGGCAGCCGGACACGGGAGGACAGTGGAGAAGTGAGACAGGACAGGACCCCCAGAGGGGTTAGCAAGGGAGACTGCAACCGGCCGGCCGAGCGGCGTAAGGGTAGTGCGGTCTCGAAAGAAGGAGCGAGAAGCCCCGGAGTCA